TATGAAGAAAAGTGTAAAAGAGCTGAGGATCATTCCATTTTTTTCACTTTTCCTAATTAGTTTCAGAAAGAAATCCTAAACAAAGTGCCAATAGGAAAGCAGAAAAATAACCATGGAATGCGTGTTTAAAATGTTGGAATTAGAATTTAATTTAAGTTTGTCCTAAAAAAGTGGATATGGCACTGATTTTACATCCAAAATAGGATTTCAATGAGATTTTGCTTCATGTTGCCCCTTTTCCTTCCACTAACAATATAAAATTTCCAATTCGATGATATTTTTTAGCTACTTAAATTTACCAAAAAACAACAAATAAAAATGACGAAATTTGTTCATTGCGAAATGAAATATTCAGAAGTTTCAACTAATATATGAACTGTTAAAAAGGAGTTTCATGGAAATTAAATGTTTGACGTTATTTTTTTTTTGAAAATTTGAAAATGATAACTTTCGATTTTGCAGATGTGGATAGTTATTATTTTTCATAGGATTATCCATTATATATTACGGTGCATCTCCTGGTGATAACATAACACGGTACTCATCAGAGCATTTAGTTTAATCTGTCGACTGATTACGTCTTCGTATTTAACGGAATAACAACGAAATTTTATTAAACGCAATCATCAGTTCGTATATTCTTCGGCACTGATTTTTTTTTATTGCAATGAATATACGTTAAGCTATACTTTTAAAGAAGGTTGTTTAAAACCGTTCACTTTTAGTGTATTTGAAAATCTCTATTCTAAAAGACTTCCAGTAAACTGCCATAACGAAAAAAGAAGTGATGTTGTTTTTTCAGACATACAGCCTGGAAGGCTATTTAAGGTTTTTTCATTTAGCGATGATAATTTACTTTGAAAATTTATGTCACAAAATTGAAATTTAACAAAATCAAAGAATAATTTTTGAAATTCACTCGGAGTGGCAGAAAAATTTGAAAGTTTCATGAATTATCTTAACTTCAAAAACTTTGGAAATTCTATACAGCCTTTTTTGAAACAGTGTTCAAATAAATAATCGAAAATATTCGAAAGCAAAAACAGAGGAAGACGGTCAACCATTGAAGTCAGTAAAACGGCAAAGTTGATTTTGAAAACATTTCTTTTAATGTAGTTGTTCCTATTATTTTGTCTTTTACAGAAGCAATAAATTGAAGAAGAGTTAAAAGCAATTCGTTTAACTATTTTTGTTATGTTAATATGTTTGAATTGGCTTACAAACATGGGTAGGATTATTTCCAAATTGCTTTATGAATTTCATAAAGCTCTGGTTCATAGGTACAATGATATAATTGCAAACAATTTCTTATAATAACGCTAATTACAAGTTAGTTCTCGAATTTGAAAAATTTTAAATCACTGTTATTCTTCACGGATCCTAAAGCAAGTCAGTCGGATTCATTTGAGAGACTCTTAACTCGCAATATATTGTGAATTTAGAAAAGTCGATGAAAAAAGGACATCAGTCTTTTGTATGAATTTCCAAAAATTTTCGGAAAGTTAAGCTAAATACAAAATGTAGCCTAAACAACTTCGATTGACAAGTTATGTTGTCTTGAATAGAAAAAAAAAATAGCAGCTTGAATGTATGATGTCTCTCATTTGTCTTAATATTCAAGCCTATGCTTCTTGCTAAAAACATGTGTGAGCCGAACATTACCCATTTCCAATCTGTCAGTTATTTCATCGTTGAATTATAAATTGTGCACCTATTGATTGGGCATTAGATAATTACAAGCCACTCATTCCAACCACTTTTACAATGGCTAATGCTTCTATCCTCACATGGAGGCAAAATAAACAGACCGTATGTCATGAGGATAGAATGGTAAAATGATCGGAATATGAAATACTTCACTATCTCATTTTATGCTAATACACTTTTGACACTTTGTAGCTTATCTGGTGACAACCCACGTGGAATATCTTATTAGGATGTGTTTTCCGAATCTCTGCTTTTATGCCCAAATTTCATTTTTAGCCGTGAAAATATGGATCTTCTTTTAGTCGTTCACAGATCGTCGTAAATGTCCAACTCTCTTAGTAAGCTAAAGGAGCGATGTATGCAATTTCAGTCTAACGATCAAACATGCACGTCGCTGTCTTTCCTTCCAGTGCAAAGAAAAACATTTTTTTTTGAGCTAAAAGGAGAAAATGGACGGATGGGTCGGAATTTCATCACAATAAGCAGAGAGTGTTACGACGTTTAAAGGAGGGGAAAAGGTATATGTAAGTGAGTGGAGAAGTATCGAAGAAATAGTTTTGAACTTTTATTAGACTTCAGTAAATACAATAAACAACAAGGATAGTTACAGGGTAATACACTCCTTAGAAAAGAGCTAATCCTCTAAAGGAAGTGGTGTAATTCCAAGATTTACTAGTGTCTGATGATTTGTCCAACGCATTCGTTCTAGTCAATCTGATAGACGAAGCTAATGGTGAAGATCGTCTGGTCATTTGATAATAATCATTAATGGTATTAAAAATCGTACATCGAGAAAATATACAAGGCATAAAATTTTATCATTTCACTGAGAATATTTTGGTATAAACGATTTCTGTGTCATACTTTGATTATGTAAATATCTTTATATTGTAAAATTGTTCGGATTTTCGACACAGATCACTCGTGTGGTTTGATGTTAGGATAATTGCATTTTAGTCGCTGAAAATACTCCTGTTAGCTGCCACTTAGGAATTCCGAAGGACATAACTGTTTGTCACAGAAGGATTATGCCTTCGTGAATATGTATGTGATCCATTAATGATATCAGTGGATGATTCGCGGTGGAATGACCGATGGCAGAGCAGATGAATGATTCTTGCCTAGTGATACTGTTTGATTAGAGAGTTCTTTATCACTAAAGACATGCTATTCCTTTGCTTCCTGCTTCTAACAGTTCTTGAGAATTCATTTTCTGGAAACGTTATAGAGAGCTGGAGAGAAGAGAGAAAGCTGGATGGAATAGGAGTGGATATCAGCTGCTTTTAGCAACATGATCTATTAAGTAATTTTTTTACTTATTATCGTAACTTTATGAATCAATACATGATTAATGACCATTTTGCTATTATTATTCTCTTTAATTTTAGAGCCTAATTGGCTATAAAATGCAGTTTTCAGCTCTTGGTTCTTAGTTCTCAGTTTAATCTCCTTTCAATCTTATTCTTTCCAAACTTCAACTTGTGCTTCTCGCTATTCACTAATAAAAATATGTATAAGTGATATTTTCTAATACTCGTATTATAACATCAAGAAGAATTAGAACTCTCCATCAAATAAAATAACCCTTCACTACTATTTGACAGTGCCAACTAAAGCCCTTGCAAAACAAAAGAAAAATTCAATAACAATGGTGAATTCAATGGAGGTTGACAATCTTCATTGTCCAAAACAACTGTCAATAGAAAGTAGCCTCTCAAAGGCGCTTTGTTTAGAGGAAAAGGGCACATCGTCGTGGGAATAAAAGAAAATTGTTTCCTATCCACTCAACCACAATATACCATATGCCTAAGACAGTCATTCTTCCTCCTTCCACAAATTGAAGATCTTCAGAAATTTGAACTGGACAGCACCAAAAACCGGAAAATGAATACTGCAATCAAGACTAAGAAATCTTATTTGATTGGAAGCGTTGCAAGAAATGAAAAAGAATGCAAACGTGCTTAAAATAACAGCAAATAAATCGAACAGATTTACTTCACTAATGGATGGATTTTTATGAGAGAAATAATGGAAAATGCAATTAAAATTTTATTGACAACTTTGCTTCGGTACTTCATTCCAATTTCTCATTTAAAATAGTGACAATTGTCTTCAGTGATGAACGATCATTTTGAGCGACAAAGGATGAGCGATGCCTCAAGCAGTCACAGTGGTATGGTGATTATTGAATACTGCGGAACAGTCTGTTAAATTCAGAGACACAAGATGGTGACAACAGAAATTACATCAGACGGATGCCAAATATGTCTAGGAAGGACAAACAGGTTATGAATGATCAAAAACAGGTTGTATTAAGTCGGATAAGATGAAAATGAACGAGGTCTTCTCCTATTCGCTCTTCTGTCTTGAATCGTTGCACATCATGATTCGATTGTTGGAGGTGGTGGAAGTATCTGTTATATAATAAGCTGACACTATTCTGACTCCAATTAATATGGATTAAGGCAATCAGTTTTTTTTTTTATTTTAAATGCTAGGATATTTCATATTCCGTTCATTTGTTGCTAAAATTACTGGGATCCCGTCTCACATAATTGTGATGGATTTAAGATGAAAGCATGTATGAACCTTCTTTTGAAATGATATCAGAAATTTACTTTCGTCTTTGAACCTAGAAAAATGCCATTAAAAACTGAAACTTTTCTTTACGTCAACAAACTAGGAGTACTCGTCGACTTTAAATAAAATTTTATTCGGTATCCTTGCAAGTTAATAGAAAAGTGGGGAAAAGATTCTCTGCAGATTTTTTTGAACTTTTTTTTGCGAAATTTTATATGATATGAGTGTCATTGATTCTTTTATCGACTAGACAACCAAGAGCTTTTGCTATAACAATAGCTGCAGTCTTTACGTTCATGAGGAAAATTGTCATTTACTATGTTACGGATTCTGATGGCTGAGAGGTGTTGATGTGTGATCAGAATTCGCATAAATTTCACAACAAATCAAATAAAGCGCCGACTAACCGCCAGAAGAGAGTAAACATTTGTTAAATATTTCCTTTCAACAGAGATTCTAACCATCTCATCCACATTACGGACCTTTGTTTCATTGTCATTATACAGCAGCTTCTTGCTTAAAGCTCATGTTTCCATTTCAACTAATTGATATGCCATCACTTTAATGCACTGCGGTTCTTTGATTATCGTTTCAAACAGTTAATTCAACCATTTCGAAAAGTGCTAAAACTATGACTTTTCTTTACTGCGCAATGGAACGGATGAGTTAAATTTAAGAAGTATTTGGACTAAAGCCTTAGTTATACAACTGATATGGGTGAACTCGTGCAAAAATTGCGTGTTCGTCTCAATGATAAACTTCCAGAAGATTTAAATACAGACTTTCAACTGCAACGATGGATTGACGCATATGAGCAGGTAATCATCAAATAAAATTTGTTCGCAGAAGTTGCACTATATCAAGCATGATGGATTTCAGGATCTGGAAGCATGCGCATCTAAATTTGAGGAGTATTTGGAAACTCGCAAAATACTTGGGTGTGTTTCTAAAAGTTTAATTCAAATATAAGATTTAGGCATAAATTTTCATAGCCAATTCAAAAATGTGTTCTATCACTTCTTGTCTTTCCATTAGTCTTCAACTTGAATTTCAATTTAGATACGGTAATCCGGAAAGCGCTGAAGATTTTTACCGGCGTCCATTGATTCGCAAATATGGTCGCTTTCTAACGCAAACTAAAATAACAAAACATTTGATTAAAGATTTGGATAATGGCATTGTATTCGTGGAAATGCCTATTGAAAATCCTCAGAAGGTTCAATTTCTCCAGATGGTTAAGCTGAAAATACAATTTGAAAGTAGCGGTGAATGTTAAAACTAAGGTTATGGTTAAGTTCTGTTTAGAAAAATCTTTTAATAAATTAGATTACTGTGATTTCATTGAAGTATCGTAAAAACCGGAAAAGTTCCATGTAAATGATTATTTATAGTTTTTGAAAGCTGTTCGCGTATCCGATTATTTACACACATTTTTTGGTTTTTGTGAACATTTTCAAAATTTGGTATTGGAAAATGAAAAGAAAACTGGCCGTCGATCGTATGCCGTTTGTATATTTGATCAGAAAGGATGTTCACTTCTACCTTACATGAATCCTTTTGGGGCGATCAATAAACTTATGCTGGTTTCTTTCATTCCACTTATTATATTTCAAGTGCACAAAGCTTGTTTGATTGAAGCAAAATCAACAGTGAATTTTCAAGAAATTTAGCTGAATTGAATTGAATCAGGTATTCAGAATATCCCTAAAGTTAGATACGTAAAAACTGAAATTCAATTTTATTGTATCAAATTTCCCGCTTTAACCAATCAAGGATGATATTATAATTTTTATGAACACCTGCCATTATCTTCAGTATCGAATTCATTTGTGGTTGGATTACTACAGTGAACTGCTGAAACGCATTATTATCGTTAATTCGCCAGCATTTTTGCCCACTATGCGAAAGGTTGGATAAACGAAGAGTTCGAGTGTTTATCTTTCCTTTGCTTGGTTCAGCGTCGGTTCTGAAATTTTGCATTCTATCGAAATTTCCTTCCAGTACTTAATTATAATGTTTTAACACAGCTTAGGTGATGGCGGCATTACTTCCTCCAAAAACACTCAGCCGTTTTATTATTGCCAAGAACTTGCCTGATGACCTATTACCATACTTGGCAATTGACTCCATACCGGTAGCTTACGGTGGAAAGCTTCTCGTACGGAATGCGCTTGATAATACATGCGTGCCATCTGAGCCAATTACACCGCTTGACTATCAGGTAAATATACAATGAATGTGTCTATCACTATGAAGTTGATGGAATTTCTTCCTTCTACATTACACAATGAAAACGTTTATTGAAATCAACTATTCAGGAAAGCGGACAAATATGGAGAAAAAATTTAGTGCATCCCATATCTGAAGATTTGACAATAAAGAGTGGTAGCAGTTATCGAAAAACATTCAAAGTCATGTCTGGCCAGGTTTTGCTGTATGAATACCTTGCCACTGGTGACTTACAGCTCTGGATTTGTCAAGGTTACAGTAATTTGTCTCATCAGTGATGTCGACTGTAATTAGGCGATAGTAGGAGTTTTCAGAGCATTCGGAAGCGTAAGCGTAATGTAGAATGCGGTAAACAGCATAGAACTGATAACTTGAAAAAGCGAGATCTATTAAGTTTTCTCCAAAAGAAGCATTTAAGTATATATTTGTTCCAGATAATAAAATGCTAACACCGAAATTCGACCATACAACGCTAAAACTTACAGAAGAAGGAGAAGTGAATGTACGTGTAAATGGAATATTATCAATAAATATATTAAATCGAAGCAAAATCTTCCCATTGAAAGTAAATTTGTCTTATGCTATTGTATAAAATGAAAAATTTATCTCTGCGAATATTGAAATAAAGAAATATTTTAATTTGTTTCATAATATGACCAAGATCTTTAGCAAATTTCTTGCAACTGATGGAAATGCAAATGTTTAGGTCCAATTAAGATGAATGAGTATGGGTCAATTTACGGGATTACAAATTAAATAGTGCGCAAATGGTGTCAAAATTGTAATACAAATCTCAAAATTGCCACTCTTAACCCCTATAAAATTTGAAGTCAAATTGCTTACAGTTTAAAATGATCTATCAATCGATTAAAACAAAAATTGTGCTGCATAGGAAAGCGATCACTCATCGAAGTGTATTATTGATAGAATGACAAAATGATTGTTGATTATAAGATAACAAAATGACAAACATTAAGCTTCCATCATTTTTAAACAGTTAGTCGGAAGGAAGTTGACCACTATTGACCATTAGTTAATATATAAAGGTCAGCAACTGCACGGTAATAATCGATGAACCGGCTCATGCAGAAAATAATTACTGATATTTCTTACATTTCAATGTGTTTTCAATGTGGCCATTTTATTTCTGTTAGAATTTCTTCCTGTAGAATTATGTTGCTGAAATTTGAAACTATTTAAAACTTTGATTAAATTTGAACTATTGTCCTCAAATTTTGTATTATGTTTAAACAGGTTGATCGTTAAATTCGTACACTACAGATTTCATTTTATTGGGTGAATTATTTCCATATTTCTTATGCGAACATAATCTTTGTACTGCGTTTTTTTCTTGTTCGAACATTTATATCGATTTAAGAATTTTCGGTAAGGTCTAAAATTTTCAACTTTTTAAAGTTGTTTTTGTAATTTCATTAATTTACCACTCATTTCAAAAAACTCGAAATCACTGCAATCACTACAAGGATAATCTCAGCATAAAAAGATTCACCTGAATTTCGACATTTTGAGATATCCGTAAAATTTAAGCCTACTTTATACAGTAATACAATGCTTTTGTCTCTCATATTATCGAGGAATTTCAAATCCTGAATCAACTGTTGAAATGCAGAAAGTGAATGCCGTTGACTATCTTTCTTATGGTATTTTCGATGCACCAAAAAGCGATGTAGGCGTTTTTTTTGTTTCATTATTAAGGAATGAATGTAATTGTTGAAGTGAAGAAAGGATGGTCGGTACTATCAGAATAAGAAAAAATTCTAAGAAAATTCAGGATGAATTAGCTCGATTGTTTATCATCGTTATTTCTCACCTTGTCAACTCCTATGATCACGGTAGTACTTTGGATTGTTCTGAGATTGTTGATGCCTCAGAAATCACTATTACAACCAAACAAGTTATGTTGATGAATGTCATGATTCTCTTCGAACAATTTAATTTGTCTCACAAACTTTTCTTTCATTTGAGCTTCCTTCTATTATTAATTTTATCCGATTTTACAACCGAACAAGAAGTTCAGCTGTATAGTTGGAGAAAGTAATTAATAGAAAAAAACAGTTTCGAATGGAAATCTCAGAGGATGTCAGGAAAACCAAAATAACTTTATAACATAAAAATATTTATACAATCAAAGTTGTCTTTATCACAAATTTTAATAATAAGATATCTCTTATTCTCACAATATACTATTCCAATATCTCCAATATCAAATTGATTGTTATCAAATGACTTAAGATCCTTTGGTTACCATTGATTTTCTGTACTAGATGATCAACTGTTTACTTTACTATAATCAGCGCTCGCCTAGCATCACCCGACTGAGACACATATACTCAGGCTCAACGGTCATCCAATACCCATTCAAATGATGAATTATTTCAATTATCAATAATCAACAAAAAGTCTTCATCTATAATATTACCAGTAATCTTTCATAAAGAATAAACCTTTACAATAACCTTTGTCCAACAACAAAACGAGGAGTCTTATCAACAATACGAGTTGCACCAGCTTTACAGATCATATCCGTAGTTAACTTCTCTCTAGAAATTAAAGTACGAACTTAGTTGAGAGCTTTTAATAATAATTGATGCAAAACTCAAGAAAAAGGAATTTAAATGATTATAATGGAGAATATTTCTGCAACCAATATAAAAAGAAATTCTAAGGAACAGTTTTGCCAATACTATATGATCTATACCTACGAGTCCGGAGAATCCTTGTTAATAGCCCTTCTATCCATAAATATCTTTATTGTTTCTTCCTATGTATTTAATTAAACAACTAATTATAAATTGTATTTTTGCGAGTAGCAGTTGAAAGTTTAGTACACAGTTTTCCAAGAGTTTTCCGCTGTGTATACTGAACTTCTCTCTTTCCGTATTTACATCTAACTTTTTTCTTTTCAAAACAAACATCTTTTTCATCGAAGCTTGTTTTCCTATAATTGCAGTTTATCCTTGTTTCCAACTCTCCTTTTTATCCTCCGGTGAAACGAATAAATTAAAATTTGACAGTAACCAACTGACATCTTTTTCTGTCCATTTTTTCTTCTCTCTACTTCTTCAACCAAGCGTCTTAAAATTAATTGTAAACTTCTTTCGAGATACCTACTGTTAGTATAATTTACAAACCCGATCGATCATACTATCCTCTAACAGTATTAGTGTATCAGCAAAGAAGAGCCCATCTGATAATAAAAGGAATGGATAAAATGGTCATCAAAAATATTAATCAGACATTTACATGAATTTAAATGTAATGATAAAAGTGGTTTCATTTCACTTCCGTTTGAATTATAGGATAACTAAAACAATTGTAAGATTTCTAGAGTTATGTCACCAATATATTGGTTAGTTAGAAGAAATTCGTGAGTTTAAATTTCTCAATAGAAGCCTGAGAAGGCTCTATTGAAACAAATTCAGCAGCTTATCCAATTTTTCTAACTTTCTAAGTAATTAATCATTAAAATCCTAATATAACGAGCTCGAAGAATCTTCCTGAGAAAGTATAATGAATAAAATCAAATTAATCATACCAGATTTTAAATTAAATAAATCTCGAAAATTGGACTTAAAAAACCTAAAGCTGTCCTAAAACAGCGTTTTCAAGTGGATAGAAGTTTATCAATTTCAAAGTAAAATTCTGACAACGAATAACGCAACGATTCCTTTAAAATGTTCTTCCATTTCGATTTGAATTTCTTGTGCTTAGTCTAGTCCGACCTAAAAAAGAAAATGGTTAGAAATTTCAACACAAAATAAAATTATTACTGTCATTTAAAATCCAAAAAATTGAAAAAGAAAAGGAATACGAGATGTGTCCGAGGACGAAGGTCACGACTAATAACTTGAAAAAATACATTTTATAGAAAAAAAAAAACATTTTTGTTCTTTTTCTTTGCAAGAACTGAAAGAAAATAGCCGATTTCTAAAATCTACCGAATCATTTGTTCGGTATCTCAAAAAAAATCTGTCTGCAATTTTCGACGCATAATCTCAGCATATCTAAACTTTATCACTCCTTCTCCTATGAGAAGTAAAAAGGTAAACAAAATCAAAATATCTGAAAAAGCAAAAATGCAAAATTGAATCGAAGGATTATTCCTTCCAAATACTAAAACATAGAAATGAAAACAGTGAAACCGTTTTTCCATAAATTTCTTTGTCTCCTCTGCATCTTCCAACCAATAATGCTTTAAAATGCTCAATAATTCTTTTATGTTTGTATTATGAAGACCTTTAAGATTCAACGAATTTTTTTTGAGTACGATGCCAATGCACTTTTTTGTCCAATTGATTCATCACCATTCAGACATCTTATTATCTAATTAATTATTCTAATATATTCGCCAAATCTTGGCCAAATAAGTTACTATTCGCGTCACGATGGAACCAATTAGTATGGAAAATTTTCAAAACCATGGAGAAAATTTTGGAAAAAATAATTTAATCTGATCATGGAACTGCATTAAATCGGAAGGACAATATGATAGGTTGTGAACCGAATCACACAATAATTTCCATAGTTCAGCATTAAGAAATTGACAAATAAGATGAACTGCTGGATAATGAAATCAATAAAAATGAGCTTTCTTCTTTAATTCAAATCTGTGCAACTAAGTTAAGTAACTTGCCAATCAAAAAAAACAATCGATTATATTGTTTTCAATGGAAACATCAAAGCTGAACCTCGTCTTTTATAAGAAACAGTCAGACAATATATAATGCTTGATGAATATTGTAAATTTTTTTTAATATTAATAATTCTCTAATTTTTTCGATTTCATTTGAAAAGTTTATCTGACAAAATGAAAAGGCAGATGAATTTAAGCAAAGGCACGGAATGATTTAATTTCCGAACGAAAATGGTGATCAATTTATGTCACAAATTATAACATATGAAAGATGATGTGCTAACAACACATAATGAATGACATGAGGATGTGGCACATTATTATTTCAGAATAAAGGCAATTGTTGTTCCTGATAAGGTTTACTTGCCAAATGCTTTGTTCTCCGATTTTCTTTGCAAAAAAAAAAATTTAATTTCTTCAAAAAATTATTACATAGTTGAAGGCAATTCACGGTATTATTTACTATCTATCACCTTTCAATGATTGCTGCATTAATTTCTAGCATTAACAAAATCCCAACAATCATGTTAACCAGAAAAAATGTTTATAACTCATCCAAATTGACAAATTAGCAAAAGAATTATCGATCAGTTCAACGATATCATTTCTATCTGCTATTGTTGTCAGTTATTAGTTATTCCACAATTATTGTTTATTGCTGTTTAATGGAAAATTTGCATAGAGTAGAAAGCTTCAAAGAAGTAAAAGAAAAGAGAGAGTGTGGTGGTTTCTGGAGCAATCGCCGTAAAATGTACCTTTAGGTTTTAATTCATAATGACACAAAACTACCTTACTTAGAAATGATTCAGTTTATCATCTGGTGGATGGGTTTGTTTAATCGGCCTATTAATTAGGTTTCTGCTGCTCCCACCATCGATCTGAGACACTGAACATTTGCTAATGTAGCTATGCATCGTCATCCAATCCAAGTTGTACGACAAATAAACTGGTAACTAACTATTAGATACTGAGTTAAATTAACATTAACGAACAAAACTAAATCAGTTAATAACACAGAAATGATGTCGTTCTTTTTTTGTTGTCTTGATGTTTGTTATTTTTTAAAATGGCTTATGCGTTTTGCGTCATGTTAATGTTATAGAGGATCTGATAGCGATAATTGCCGTTGATTGAGATACGAGATACGTCAAAAATTCTTAGACAAAAAATTTAATTCATTATTGTTAAGCCAAAAAATTTCAAGCTTTGGTACCAAACCCGAGATAAAATGGAATGAATAAAGCGATCATTAGTTTAATGCTGATTACAAACAACACGAATAAGAACAGAGCAATTGGAATAAAGCTAAATATGTTAATTCGATTTACTAATTGCCTCTGTTAGTTAGCCTCATTAGTTATTTCATACTACACGAAAAATATGTTGTATAATGGTCACGAAATTGTTAAGAAAATTCAAGTATTTTGTAGTTCAGATCCGGAAAGATAATAACACTCTTTTTCTCTATTGCTTCGCTACAATAAAATAATTTTTGTTACTAATTAGTATCGAGCTTCCGAGCATGTTTATGCGTATTCAAGATGTCTTACAACATAGTTGAAAGGCGAGTTATTCAATGAATATCTTTGAACTTCATTTGTAAGGCTTTTCTTCTCACTTAATTAATTCATCGCTAACAAAAAAAATACCGGTCATATAAGATTTCAACTTTCCGAGAGCCTTCTTCTAATCGCCTCTTCTTTATTGTCGATACTTTGACTCAGTTCAACAATTTTCGAGTGCCTTTGTTGCCTCACACAATGCTGTAGGTAATTAATTTAAATAAAAGTTATTATATTCTTATTCATTCACCTAGCCTAATATATTCGCTTATTATATTTACCAACTCGGCAAAATTCTTTTTTCATTCCTGTGCTGAACAGAGATTCTTTCAAAAAAAGGAAAAGATCAGGAATGAATCGGAATTTTACACTAAGTGATAAAAATCTACCGAAATTCGGTTGTAAAACTGGTACCTGAATGATAATATATGTGATAGCAATGATAACAACCAACACTAAGGCCTGAAGACATATTGCCAAGAGAATTATTATACATTTCACATCTTCGGTAATACACACCAGTTGATTTATTGTAATGGGATTTCCTTCTGCCTACAACAGTAACCAATTTTGACAATGTCTGGCCGATAATTTCAAAAATAATCGAAAATTTTTATCTCAGCTCTTTACTGCTTTTAATACTTGTAAGAATTTATCGTACTTAAACTTACGCTATCACTGATGTCTGTTAATGATTCTTCGTAGAGCATCAGCACTGATTTTATGCGCAAACCATTAGTTTCTAGAAAATTTGTTCAAGTATCGAACAAATTTTTATAAAGTAAATCATTTTAAGAATAAGGATGAAATATTTAAATTAACATGAAGTTTGGCGATTATAATCTGGAAGAGTGAGTCATACTTCCTTCTTTTTTCCATGACTTTTGTTTAAGTTTGAGTATGTTCGGTGATTTTACAGCGTATATATCTCCAGAAAGTTGAAACAGACGTGATTCAGATGGTGCCATCACCGATCGCCTCTTCCGTACTCTATTTTTAATTCTATAATCAAAATTTTATAAGAAATTTCAGAATACTGAAATATTTGAAATAAAATATTTCTATTATTAGAAACTTGATTTGTTCGTTCTTCATGGAATTCACTTGGCTGCAGTTATTTGGGTCACAAAATTCGTCGCAAGGAATAGCATAAGCTTGATAGATAATATCGGCCTGAAAATATGATGGCGAAAGTATTAACGACATAGAACAAATACATTCCGTCTTGCATTCCAGAATCTTCGGATTGTTTTAAAACACGCCAGGTAATTAAAAATTGAGGGATTGGGCTCAGTCCTGTAAAACTTTCAAATATATGAATTATTAAACAAGTAATAGTACCTCATCCGAGAAACCATTAAAGACGATGGTCAACTGCAAATGATTTTCATCAATTCGATAAATGTTTTTAAGCATTCCGTTTGGAACAGCGCAACTGCAAACAAAAATAAATATAAACCTATATTTTGTTGAACACTTTGGGTAAAAAAATGATTTTAACAAATTTGAAAAAATTTTTTACCCGTCGGAATCTATAATTGTAAAAGTTCTGCCACTTTGTGTGTCACGCGCAAATAAATTAATTATCGAAAATTTGATCGACTTCTAAAATAATAAATGGATAATAAAATTGACTGTTTTCGTTTGAATCGTGAGATTGTATCCACGTGAAATAAACGTATTCGACATTTAAGATGTATATAATTCCATGATAGCAAAAAATAAATGAATACTTCATGTGATGTAAATAAAAGATAGCCTTCATCACCGATTTGTACCACTTCTGCAGGATTTTTGTTTACATCCATCACTTCCATTGTATACCGAGGTTGAGTCACATAATTTCGTAGTTGTGACGCTATTTGTATATTCTTCGCTCTGTAAATTTACATGTAATTTTTTTTGTCAAATATTAATAAAATTCAGTAAAATTTGAACGGCGCAAAATTATGAACCCATAAAACATAGGTGAATGCTAAATTCGAAACTTATTTCGTAAGTAATAAATAACGAAGTGAATTTACAACATCTGTTTTGTAACATTCTCATCTTCAATCAGAAAACGAAATGACAAGTGTTGATCTGGCGGTAGAATTTCCAAATCACTATGTATGTGGCAAATAACCTGAAATTTGGAAAGTAACTGCGGTAATGTATATTATGATGCTTTGAAAGCTCATGCCTCTTTCTAAAATCTAAAACAGAATTAATGATATTGCAAGCATCTTTATCCAAAATTGATAAAAATTTGTAATTGTAAGAAAAATTTCCACAGAGCTGGTAGAAAAGGTTGGATAGGGCTGTTAATTACAGAACTTCTATTTTTCATTTTTTATTACTGTAAAAGAATATCGGTTGGCTGACCTTTAACAATTTGTCCTTGACAGTAATGAGCTCAGTACTACCTTCCTTCAACATTACCAAGTTTGAAAAAGTCAAATAAGGAGAAAGCTGAAAGGAATCATACTGATAATGTTTATTATTCATTCTTTTTATTTTTTTATTCCTTCTGTTCACTTTTTTTAAAAGAAAAAATTATCAAAAGATGAATGGAGAAAAAGATAATAAAACGCTAGCAGAAGATTTTAAAAAAAAAGAATTTCAAAATTATAATAAATTCAAAGAGCAATAAATACGAACAGTTTTTTGCATTCCGCATTCATTGTACAGTATCTCGGCATCGAATTCGTGTACATGAAAGAATTTTCTTTCGCAGGAAACTATTTTATCATTTTTTGTCATCAGTGTTCCAGAAAACATTTTTAACGATGAACCATAAATATGCATCCGATCTGGTTTACACTTTAACTTGACTGCAATGAAAATTTTGAAATTTTTACTGATTAGATCTCCTTTGTGATTAGTATTATTTACTTCAAAACTTTCTTATCTCTAATAAAAATTGAACTTAAAATTGCGAAACTGACACTGCACACAGTCCTCCAAATCACCAGACGACAAATTGAGGTCATAATTCTGTAGAGGATTCTTGTTCAATGTTCGAGGCGATGTGTGACTCAGATAACACATGCGTGTTCCTCGGTGGTATGTAAAGTAGCGGCAATTACCGCTGTCCCATGTGAGACATAATTGCTCGCATTCAGTAGTGTTGCTTACATTCGCAATACGTTGGTCAAAAAAATCCGTGAAACCGGAAGACTGCATTCGGATGAACTGACACTGCGCAACATTCATAGAAAGATCTGAGATAGAAAATATTAGTGTGGGATTGTTGACATGTAAGCATTTCTTGATACTGTTAAGAGTTAAGAACAAACAAAGATAATGAAAACAAAAGGTGAGGGGAATTACTATCAGCAATCAAATTTACGATAATCTCAAAGTAGAAATTCGTCTCACCATCAATGCGACAGTGGACTACAATACAATATGCTTATGCTAGAAGGTCAAATTCAAACTAACGATCCGGGAAACAATTGTTTTCATACAAATCTACGTCTTCACTACGTTTAAAGAATTTTTTTGTATTGTGAACGTTTTGAATTGATACGTTCAAATAACGGCACTGCATCGCTTTTTCATTATACAAAATCGCTCTGCACTGCTTCCTGAAATTTTGCATAAGTTGAAAAGATTAAAATAGCCAGTAACTTTTTTGTTCCTGTCCGATTTTCCAAAAAGTGCTTTCTGATGTTAAAAATTTTCGAAAAACTACCTTACTGTTTCATTCATCTTGAATGATAACGGTGATCAGGATCAGCCTACCCGCTAGTGAGGCTGTCGCTGTCTCGGATCGCTTAATTCTAGTTTGTCAACACAATAGAATCTGCTTGACTTATCAAACTTATAACGTATGTTTCGCCATGCATTAACACTTCTATTCCCACACCATAATGGATTATTCATTTCGAGCATAATGGAAAAGATATGATTTCGAGAGTTAATTTTCCGTGAGCGAGGAAATTTCGCCCTTCGCTTAAATATTTGGAACATTATATTCCTTGATTAATTAAATAAATTGACATGAAATAAATATTTTAGATTAAAAAATGAACCTGTTTAAACAAAAAGTCAAGCATTTTTCAAGCGAAATTGTTCCTTCAGCGATGTCTGCAAACCTGTCCTCAATGAGATCCTTGTTTGGAAACCTTTCAAATGACCATACTGTACCATCAGAGCATTGTGATGATAACCCTTTAATTGAAGATTTCATCAGTTTGTTTGAAATAAATTTGTCTTCTCCATCAATTTAAATGTAAAACTGCAAGAATTTACTTTGATTAAGACAGAAAGATGCTGCGCTATAAATTACACTTTCCGGGATAGGCATTTCCGATTCACTGCCTTCTCTCGTTCGATCGACAAGCAAGCATATCGGATCATCTTCGACACCTATCAAGAAATTTACTGCCGTACACTTCTTCTGCTAAAATTTCACAATAAATGCTACAGACATGAAGTACAATGCATCATCTTTGAGCAGTGGAAGGAAAACTTTTGTTTTGAAGTAATTAGAAGTACTCTCAATTTCTCACACTACAGAAAAGCAGGTCAGAGAACATACTTTGGAGCAGTGTTGGAGACAATACTGAAAAGCGCTCGTTTGCAATTTTCCGATTACTTCACCTTCCATTAGGTGACCTCGTTCGATAATATATGTAATGAACGCACAATATGAAATGAATCCCCATCAACTCTATATTTTTTTATACATTCAATTTAATCTATAATTCGAATCAAACAATAATTAGAATGAAATGCCAAGTGTGTACTTTTGGCTTGACGGAAGCCAGCTTTACCTCAATTCCTCGATTTATCTGACTTGAGGTGGAAAAAATAATCGTTTTTTGTTTCTTTTTGGTTTTCCACGCCCAATGAAATTTCTTTTATAACGACCATTTTTAAGCTTTTAGCTTGTTTAACACTATGTAATTTTCATCATAACCCATTTTCCAGCAACACATCTGATTTATTTTGAATTACATTTTGCGTACAAACTTCAAATTCCTCCTTCTTCATTAAGTATGTACCAAATGAAAAAGCATAAATCTTGTTGACCTGTTTCGTCTATAATGCAAGCAATCCCATTCACACCATGAACTGATCATGCAAATTCAAAGTGAACTTCTCAACTTTCTTAGCTGTCACTGTAGTCAGATTTTTTAAGTTATCCACCATCTATATTTGCATTGTTTTTGGGACAGACTAAAAAAAATTACCTTCAGTGGAGTCGAATAGTGTCATCGTTTGTTTGGTGCAAATAAAAGAAGATACAAGAAATAATAATCGATCCATGAAGCGATCCACTGAAAACTCGCTACAGTCAATTTTTAATTAACTTTTTTCAAAACTTCAAAAACTAGAAGAAATCCTCGAAGGCGACATATTTGAAATAAGATGTTTTCACCAAAGATCACCAAAATGATGTATGTATTGAGTGCAAGAAATGAACTAAATTTCAAGATTTATTCCTCTTTGTAGTGATTGTATACATACATACTAAGTAGATTAATCAATGGTCCCTATTCCATAATGCTTTTGGCACCGTGCGATACATCAATGAATCATTGATGGAAAGGCAACAGATATGCATTTTCAATATAAACATTTCAATTTCATCAAATCTTCCCATTTCCAAGTTCTCATTCTTGCAGTCCAGCTATTTGTTTTAATCCATCTGCTAGTCAAATATCAGTACAAATTTTGGTATAAAACAAAAAAGACAATGAAAAAATGGTAAATTTGTTTGAATTTTAACGTAAAACACATCAAAGACTGATCGATGCTTAGAAGGAATTAGAGATGGAAGTGTTGCTTCATCGGGACTATAAAATAATGGCAGGAATAAGTTAAAGCGTATGGAACTAAAAATGTTAGGAGCTAACATGAGGAATGCAAAATTTGAATGAAACAGCGGAAAGAGCAGGGTAACACGACGTTGCAAGCACATCCGCGTGTCTTTCCTTAACAGAACAGCAATTCGGAAATCGAGGAAGGAGTGTCAAAGAGACGATTTCGTTCATCCCTCATATATTTCAATCCCTCGGCTCAGTGTACAGTCAGTCACTCAGTTCCACCATGCAATTAGGTCATGGCCCGTATTACGCTTCCCTTCTTCCTATCCCTGGATTTCCACTATTCGGATTGTCGTGTCATTGTCGTATTCAATACCATTGACCACCTATTGCTCCAATACATCTAGAACAATTATTTAGCAAAAAAAAAATTACAATTCAGAATTATTCAAACAAAATATTTTTTATATACTTGAATTTCGATTTTTGGTTTGCTGATTGCACAATTTTTTCTGTGAATTTTTGAAAAATATCATGACTCATAATTTATGAAGGGATTTGAACAAAATGTCACTGTAAAATTTATTTCACTTATTCAGGACAGAAGAAAGAAATTAAATTTGGAAATAGCAATGAATTAAGTGCTAAAAGCAGTGAATAACATTCCGTGCTTCTTACGTCAAGCTTTCTAGCTGAAATAGAATGTTATTTTCGCATGTATTGTATGTTTAAGGCTGGATCCTTAGATGTGTACGAATTGGTATTAATGCCAGCAGTCACCAGTATCCTAATTAATTACTAACAGCATAAAAAGTACAAAAGTGATGAGAATCTCCTGAGAAATTTACATTGGAGAAATTCATCGAAAGGATTCTAGCAAATTCACTCAAGAAATGAATCTACACAAAACTGACCAAGGAAATTAAATTAAATTAAGTGAGTCAAGTGATTAAGTGAAGGAAGTTAATCAAATCAAACAACGAGGTCAAGTAAATCCGAAAGAAATAACAAGCTTTCGCCAGACAAATTTCAGAAAAAAATGAATTCTCAAAAGAACTCATATCAGACATAACCCATGATGACACCGTAGACCAAACTTCGCATTTCATGTTAATGCCATGCAGCATGAGATCTTTTTTTCTGACTGCTGAAAGAAGACCGATGTCAAAGCCACTTGCAAGATGTGACAAGATAGAACTCAAAAATAACTCCAAAAATCAGAACCCATTTCTGATATGGTTATATCGAACCCCTCCTTTAAAGAAGGACATAAATCGGTCAAGGACATGTGCGGAGTAATGACGGTTCATTGTTATGTCATTCCTTTTCTTATTTATGGATAGGTAGGTTCGAGCTGACCAAATGCACCAGTTTCATAATATCTTTCCAAACAAATTACGTGCTCAATGCTCCATTCTTCGAATAACTTAATTCAAGATCTCCCACTTCATGGAAGACTTGTAGCTAAAAAAATGTAATATGCCCCCATCTCTTGATGCCGAAAGATGTCTTAATTTTTAACTTGATCACTCAATTTATCTCTCAATTTTTAACACTGTTGTTCTATTGCTTGCTGTATCGCCGACATCTCCAGATATCTTACTCTGACTCAAGCGGTAATGGAAGGATAATAAGTCCGCTATCCAATCTGAACCGTAACTTCATAGAAAGACTTCAAATTTACTATTTCTTAGTTCTATCTTAATGAGATCGAACTGTAAGTTTGCAAAATTAGAAGTTTCAGAATGTTTGTTGTCACAGTCATTATTATATTTTATAGCATAATACTGATAAAGCATTAAAAGTTAAGATAAAACAGAAAATAAAATCTATCACATTATGCATAAGCAGAAAAAAATGTAAATCTCGAGAAAAATAATTGCAGAAATATTCAGAAAGTCAAACATGTGATGCACAAAGCAGGAAACGAGTTGTTGAATAAGCAACGATATTTTAAAACATTAATTTTTACATTGTTTTATCGGAACAGATTCATTTTATTCCAAAACGAAAAAATATTCAATCTCAGAAAAAATTTCGCAGGAACAAATACAAGGACTAAAATATTTGCTTGTTGGAGAACGAGTTGAACAGGACTCAATTTTTTTAGGGATGGTACAATTCCATCATACATTCAAATGTTACAAAAATAAAGATTTATATTTGAACTTTCACTAGATTTTTGACGAATACCCCCTGTATGTTTATTCTATGATGCAACCAAGAAAAGTGAAGAAAATTATTTACTATGACATGTGTTGCAGTAATAGAAAAGTCGACTGGCGGTGGTAAAATAAGAAAGATGATAATTGATAAAATAAGAAAGATGATAATAAGTTAAGAACTATGAAATATTTTTAATATCATGAAGCGTAAGCAAAAGTGAAATTGATATGTATTATACTACACAAAACAATATGACCCATTTGAATTATGCAATATCAAAGACTACCTAAATAACCATAAATAATAATTTGTGCACAGTGACACTTCTTTTTATTAAATAAAATCATAATGTGATGCTTTTACCGCAGTAAGCCTCTCGAATGTCCTCAATCAAACCTATTCTTGAGCTTTGTTTTTCCTCACGAGCAATATCACGATAGCTTGCTTCCATGTGACGATCATCAATCATTCGTTCTCTTAACTTCCAACGATTTTTGTCATAGCGTGGATTTATCAACCTTGAAAAATACAACAAATGGGAAGAGACATTTAAAGAGGAGTAAAATTAAAAGCTTTAAAAAACACATTACATATATAATCGGAAGTAAAATGATAACACAAAAAAATACCGCAATGTTTCTTCCAAATCACCGCGTTTCAGATGTTCATCAAACTCGCTATCATCAATGAAATCATCCATTTCACTATCATACTCTTCATCATCAACATCCTCATCCAATTCATCATCTTCTCTTAGTCGACGCATCCTAGATAGAGGTAATATTTGCAAAGTAGATTAAGTCATGCATAAAGTAGTAATCAAAAGAAAAATACTCTTCTAAACGACGTTGTTCTTTTAGATGTAAATGTTTGTGGGTTTTGAAACGAGAAATTGCTCTCTCTTGTGACATCATTTGTATTGATGGATTTTGCTGCTGATCACCAGCTCTTGCAAGGTTTTCTTTATTAATTCTTCTAGGTCCTCTGGAAAATAACATCTTTTTTAAAAAGAAATTACTTGAAATAATTTAGTATATAATACCTTTTTACATAAAAATATCCTATTTGTTAATCTCAAAAATCACAGACAAAAAAAAGACATTAATTCTAAGAATACCGGACATAATCTTGTTTATTAATTCATTTTCTCGTATTTTAAGTTGCACACAGTATCTAACAGAAAAAATAATCATTTCAAGTGAAATTTAAAGCAGTTATTCTATATTTTCACCTTGCTTGTATGTCTTTATTATCAGATTCCTTCACATTAGTTTTGGCTACAATCGACGGATTGTTATTCATCTTAACACTTGTCTGAGACTGTTCTGGAGCTGGTCCTTGATATCTGAAAGAGTTAACCTGAAGCGAACTAGTACCAGGACATGGATAACATTCGTAAAATTAATATTAATTAAAAACAATCCAACATTTAGATGGATAAATATAACTCAAAATTTTAAAATCCAGAAAGAGAATGTGAAACAATATTTATTGAAACAAACCTGATATCTCCCGGAAGATACCGCCGTGATGAAGGTGTAGAGGTCGATCCAGACGATATGAATGGTGGCACCTTCTGTTCTTTAGTATGACCAGTTTGAATATCATTCATCCTCTTTGTAACATTGGAACTAAATATAAGACATAATAAAATGAAAAGTTTTTTGTTTACCCTGATTTATTTACAATTCAACAGTAAAAAAAAAGCACCGCTGTATAGTAGCAGCCTTTTTATTGTTCCTACTTGTTGGCTTTGATTTGTCCTCGGGAAATTTAATTTCCCTAATGTCTCGCGGAAGCAGCTCATTATGTGTTTTCTTTTTTGCAGGAGGCGGACTAGGAAGTGGTGGGCTTGGAGACGCTTTACCATTTTGGATTGCTTCTGCCTAAAATAAAACTCTCCATTTCTGAACAATTTGTACTGACTATAAACCATAACATTTTCAGCTCGCTCGAATGTTAGGTTCTGCATCTTTCATCACTGTATGTTCATCTTATTTAGAAAACAGTATTAAAAATTAAATGAAATTCAAAGATTAGATCTAAAAACTCATAAGACTCTGAACATTCCAATAAATATTGAGGCATGAAACTACTTGTATTAAATGAATTTCACTCACTTTCTTCATAAGAAAGAGAAAATTTGACTCCGATGGAGGTAAGCGACGCTTACTTACAATCTTTGTATCAATTTTTCTCGATTTACCTTCCGAGACACATGAGCTGGAAGGCCCTGGAGAATCTTCTTTCCTGAAACACAAAAGCATTTCGAGAATTCTTAACGGATTCCATTTGCCATGGCATACAGCACATATATGCAAGACGCAAGTGAAACGAACTTACGTCAAATATCTTAAACTATTCTTTTTGTTAATGGCGATTCTGTAAGGACCATTTCTGCACGATCCTGCACCTGCCATTTTTTCAACTACTTTCTTCCGTTCCAGAGCCTTCACGATATTTCCACGTAACTCATTGTTGAGACGATCAGATTCTTCCTACAGAACAAACACAGAACAGTATGTTTAAAAGACTATATTATAACAAAGGGGACAATTTACTTTAAAAAATTTTTAAGAAATTAAATCATATCTAAGTTCTAATTTCTCGTTTCTTTGATTCATTATTTGTAAAACTGATAAACATGAACTGTGCGATTAACAAATACTGCTTTCTTTAATAACTTTGCTAATCTAAACTTTTCGGTTTTAGAACTACGAAAAGTTTAGATTAGCAAGTTATTTAAATGCTTGATGGGAGGTATAAGAGACCTGATCCGCAGACCTATGCATGCTTGTGCCCAGTGTGGTAGTCATAAAAAGATATGTTGCTTGAATGTCCGAATAGCTCTTATGTTGCCTCATATAGGAGACAATAACATACGTTTTTATCAACCATACATAAAGCATAAAACTGACTTTCTCTTTAATTTGCTGCTTTTTCAAATGTTCTTCGTGTTCACGATCATTACCATACTTTTGTTGTAGCTCAATTGGCGTGCTACCGAACTGCTTAGCAAGTTTTTTATTTGCCTAAAAAATAGGCAAAGAATGAATTGGTTTTATTTAAAGAGGGAAAAATACGAATCCTACTGCCAGGATATGACAGTTAATTAACAGAATGTAAGCCATTACACTGAAGGAATTTCTTGGAAGTTCCTCAAGATCAAAAGAAAACTCTAACCTTTCCACCATAACTTTGCAGTCTTAATTTTATGAGTTCCTCCTTTTGTTTCTTTTTCTCAGTTAACGTTTTCCGCTTTTCCTCCTCTTGTTTTTTTAGAAATAACGCTACTCTGCTCTTATCGACATCCGAATCATCTCTCGTTTTTTTTTTCGGAATGACAAACTGAAAATTCAGGTTATGAAGTACAGAATAATTCAATTTCGAATAATTATCTTTGCACTTGTCTACCCAAAGAATTCCTACCTTGCAATTTGTATTAACCACTATCATTATTTGATTAAACTAACTTAAGAAAAAAAAACTGTAACTCATGAAGTGTAACTAATAAATCTTTTAAACAAATGAAGACGAACCGAATAACGAAGTTCTCCAAAAGTTATCATTTATCAAAGACTGCTAAGATCAATCCCATAATCTAATCAATTTAATAAGGTGTGAGAATGTCAACGTTTCAGCAATGTCGAATCACGACTAAGCATTAACTCGAAGCTTCGACCAACAAGGAAGACATTGCCATTATTGATTAGGCAAACTTACAACTCAGAAAAAAACCTAACCGGAGGGTGAATTAGGTCGTCTGGCATCGTGCACATGGAGATGGGATGAAGGCTGCTTGGGGTACATGTTGTACGGTATAAATGGTAAGTTCAAGAAAAGAAGATTCGAGTGAATGAAAATTCATAATTCATTCTATTTAAATGGCCTTCCACTCCCAGCAAGATGTCAATTCTTCAACGCAAAAACCTTAAAAACCTGAAAATAAAAAGCGGAGACTGGGTGAAGTACAACGATACCTCCTTTAGCAAGACTTGATTTTATCAGAGAAACTAAAACCTATAAAAATCCGGTGAATACTATCCTACTCTATCCCAGCAAAAAAAAATTTAAAAAAATGAAATCTGAAAAACAAATAGCCAAATAACAAATAAGCTGTAGTACTTTCTGTTTTTCGACGGGAGGTTTAACAATTTTCGATCGTTTTCGTTCCGCAGCCAATCGTACATTCGTACATTTTTTAGTCTTTTGACGCGCTTCATCGATCTTCCTGATTTCTTTACTCGCATTTTTTGTATTACTACTTGCTTGTTTTAATATATCGTCGAATATATCCATAAATAATCATTAATCTGAAAGTATGTGTATTTAGCGTCTCTTGTTCTGTTCTTCAACCCACCCTACTACGGTAACTTTCTTCGAGAGAAACTTCAACGCCGGAACTTTAGAAAGAAAAATCGACTGTACCTGCGAAGCTCTTAAACCGCACCCGATAAGCCTCAATCACACAATAAAGACAGCATACCGTACTAAGCCCTGGTCGTGCGTTATTCGATATGGCGCAATGCAACAAATGTCTTCTCAAATTCTAACATCTCTTTCAAACAAGATTTTTAATTAACTTTCAAAGATATTTTTCAAACAAACTGTTCGAAAAAACTTCTTTGTGACCGGTTAAGTTATGAGAAATTATTTTCTAGCCGTAAAGCTCTTGAAAAAATTCAAGCCCTCCCCCTTCATTAAATACATGGTAAGATGACGAGGACAAGGAAGATGGAAGGAAATGAGGGAGTAGGTCAAAGATATATCTCGTTGACCATTCGCCAGTTCCTTCCGAAGGAAGTGCAATGAAAGGTTGGTTGGTAGCCGATCAATAGTGCATTTTTAAGGCTGATTGTACCAATCTTCTTTTACAACCTCCGAAGTTCCGTAGCAGTTCAAATCTTGTTATTGTTGAAACAGATCAGATGATTTGACCTTATGAATGTTGTTTTCGATAAGATATACTCACCTAAGAATTTAATCATTCCCACTAACAATATTATCAGTACAATAAAGCGCACATCCGGTCTCACTGATATTTGCAGTAAGTGGACATTGCTTTCATCAGCCGGAAACAATTTCATAATCAATGATAGTGTAATACACAGTTACGGCATACTGTTTCCTCTTTCTCCTTACTTCCGAATCTGAAGTCTCAAAAGTATGACTGATAGATGAAGTTGTAATATTACAGTAAAAATTCTGTCAGAATTATCAGCCTCAAACAATACTTAAGAATCTGAGATAATGGAAGAACTAAGGGAGCTTATTTGTGAAAACCGTCGATTGGATGCCTTCAAAATACTTATATTGGAACTTGAAAAATGAGTGATGAAGAAAAAAAGAAATAACGAAAAAAACCGATTGAAGCTGCAGCATTCTGAGCAGTTTTTGATATGCTAAAATTAATTCATCACTATAGCTCGGACCTGCTATGAACGACTTTTCGTTTTTGGAATTCCTTAATGTGAATGCTTTGGTTAAGCCTAATCTAACGGTACTGAAAGCTTATTTATTTTTCACAGTATCAAGATATGGAATAGGTTAAACAGAGTGGGAAAGATGTAGATTACCACCCGGGAGATCGTGGCATTATTGCTAATCCTGTTCTATGATCTGCCATCACTGGTACTGCATTAATTGATGATGACAGACTTTGTCGCCACTTACTTTTCTGTTTCATTTGATTCTGGCTCAACCATTGCTATTTTCGCAAAGTTTTTTCAATATGACAAAAGTGAAAACCAAAAATGCTGTTTATCTAAATTTTCTGGTGTTTCCGCTTTGAAATACAGAGGAATTAGTGTGAATGATTAAATGATTTGGCCAGCAGTAGAATGGAAGGCTCACGACAGTAATCTCATTTGCAATAGCATGTTGTCAATTTATTTGCAAACAATACGGCAAATTTCACTGCTTTCACGACTATTCACCTCACGATTTGATCTTCGTTAAGTTATTTGTTTAGTTAATTTTTTGGTTTAAATAAAAATATTTGGTTGTAATCTAAAAGCACCAAAAACAAGTACATCAACAGTTTTGGCTCATCAGTATACAGTAATGTCTATGAAATTAACATGTTTTCTAAATTCTAGGAAAGTCCCCAATTGAAAGAATTTGTGGTTCAAAATGTATCTTGGTCGAAATTTAGTAAAGCAAAATGTAGTAAAACAGTGTATTACATTTTCGATTTATCCGCTATTTAATTTCTTACTTTTAATTTATGTTTTGGTAGCATGGATTTATTTGATACAGATCTATTAAAGTACACGCTTAACTAAATTGCATTACGATACCAACTTAACCTTTTTTTAGCTATTCACAATCTTAAAAACGAGGAAATCCACTCGACCAAATTGCCAGGCGAATTCAGTCATTTCGTTTGCACTACTAGGAACAGTGACCATAGATAGTGTAGAGTACAACCAAACCAACCACCGTCTTTAAACGTGAATACGAGAACGCATAAGAAAGTATCGTAAAATGGGTCAGTCAGAAAATAGCCTTAAAAAAATCTTAACAATCTGGTATGAAGAACCAACTTTTTCAACTTTATGTTTATAAGAGACTTGATAAACATTCCTGGATTAATTAGTAGAATAATATAAGCTACAATCTTAACAGTGCGACATTTCCATTGTAATACAGTTCATAAAATTGCTTATTAAAATTTTTTATAGAAAGTGACGACACTTCAGGATAACAAAAAACATGGCAATATATTATAAATTATTACAGAATTCTATTACTGCAAATGCAAGTAAACAAAAAACTCTACAAGTGAATGGCTTTGTTCTCGAAGAAAATCAAAACAGCGATAAGCCTGATCTATCAATTAATAGAGAAAAAGAAGTGAAATATGTAGTTGTGGCACTTTGAACTTCCACCCCGAATCGATCCATAATGATAGCTTTATGATTCTTATGTACTTCGATGTTTGAAAAAAAAACATCGGCATTATAAATAATACATCATTCAACAACAAATATCAGATAGCAAATAAATAAGCATGATGTGTTATTTGTGCAAAATGACATATAAATCTTCGGTGTTGTGGAAAGAAACTGTGAATGTCACAGCTCACGTAGGCAAACACAGGAAATATACAGTGCTAAACTTCCTTTTAGAAGTTCTGGAGAAATCGAAAGTGCATTAAATATGTTTGGATGATCTTCCAATTGGAGGGTTGATATCTTTTAGGAGAATTATGAACCAGAAAGACTACTGTAATCTAAGGTTTGTCCTATAATTAATCTACAGGTCGTTTGATCTACAGAACTTTGATGGATTTTAAAAGACTTTCTGGAAAGTGTCTGTATAGAGTTTAGAGTAATTCAATCTTCCACGCTTCCGCGTACAAAACTTAATAAAACTGAAATAAATTTTTTTTTAGATAGTAGCAGCTGAACCATTCCTATCAGGAAAGATGTCAGATTTTTTCCCACTACAGCAACCAAAAACTCCGATCAAAAAGATTCTTGCAAGCCTACTAATGGTACCAATGATTTATTTCCCGTTATACACGGTGTTCTATTCGGAAATTATCTTATAATTGTTAACAGTAACTTTAGATAAATGAAGCAATAGATGATATTGAGCAGATGGGCAATAATGAAATCAGAAGTAAATTTTCCAGAGCGATGAAAGAATGTATGTGAGGAATGATATTCGTGATGAATGGCACACTGAAATTACACTGGAGAACTACGCCATGGATACAAATAGTTATTAAGTTGAAAGTTTCCTGATCGAAGATTACTTAAGAGAAGTAATCTCTTTGATTATTCAATGAAATATGTGAGAAAAGATAAGAATGGATAAAGTTTATTTCGTCAGTTTAGGAATTGATTGCTATTTGTTGCTTGATATGCTATCTTTTCTTTTCATTCAAGGGATTTGCTTTTTGAGGAACGTTATAGTTCAGTCGTGACAGCAAGATCCCATCCAGCCTTCAACGGTTTCACATATGTGGAACCTCGATTATGTGTTATCAAAACAAAAAAATTGGTGCTATTTTGGACGATATGTTACGTGATCCGTGTGATATTAAAGAGACTTCTCAATAAAAGATTTCTAGGCTCATACGACGGATAGTTATGGAAGTTTACATCTTGAATAGGTATCAATTTTAGGTTAAAAATTATTAAAACTAAATATCAATTTCAATTAGTTTTTTACGTAGCAAAGCTGATTTGAAACAATTGCAGAGTTCGCCATTCGAATATAATGAATGCTCATGTCACAGTGGTCATGGAGCATTCACTCTGTCTACAACTGGTTCTCCCTCGATTGTATCAGTTGGAGCAGCTAATTGATAAATATCGCTGTGAAAAGGAAGGGAAGGTTGTTGTATTATATTGGAAGCTTACTTAGTACTTCTGTGATATCCTCCGTAATAATTATGGATAGAAGCACGTGATTCGAAGTCATCCTCCACAAGTAAACTATATATGAGGATCGATTTTCCTTAAAAATTTGTCAATCATTGCCGATAATTGATATGTTTTCGAACTTCATAATCTGCAAATAAAGTTCCATTTTTAGCGGATGAATATTCGCATCACTGCAATGATTATTCGACAGCTTTGCAGAGCATTATCTTATCTTCATGATGCAAATATTATTCATAAGTTTGCCTCTCTTCTCCATCACATTGGTATTTTCCTAGCTTTCCAACAAATTTTGGAAGGATGTTCTACTTTTAAATAAAATTTTTCTAGTGATATTCAACCAGAAAACATTTATCTGACTCGTGGTGGTACTGTCAAATTGAGTAATTTTATCAGTTCATGAATGATCGTAAACGAACGAGTGGCTGAAAGATGTCGCACTCCTGATGGGACTCCCGATTATATGTGTGCTGAAAAGGTCTATCATTTATTACTAACAAAGCTTTGCTTGACATTTCTTTATTTCGGTCAAAACAAACTATCAGTGTCATCTACCACCCAACAAGAGTAAAATGCGATACATATAAAGATATCGCCACTTTTTGAGATATAGAGGTCGAGCTGTGCTTGCGTCAGAGTTTTAACTGTTTCCTGTGTACTATGAAGAGTTCGATATATTCTTAATATCGTTGAAAATTAAAATGTACTTTAATAGTTCTATTCTGAAGATATTGTAGTGGTATAAAATTTTTTTTGTGGAGAATTTTTAGACATATAGTGAATAAATGCATAATATTCCTCTTTTAGCAGTATAATTTGAAACGTGTTGCAAACATAACAGATTATAAGAACTACTCGACGTCAGCAGATATATGGTCATTGGGTGTGCTGATACTTCATATGGTCAGCTATTATCCCAACGAGAGGTGGCACCGCTTACCTCGAATGTTCGCTCTCCAAATGAGAGAAAGAAGATTGCCATTTCGATGGTTGATTAATGACTTTAATTCATTCTGCTTGTGCGTCAAACTATCCAGAGACTTATTATCCTTTTGTAAAATCGGTCTTCAGATCGATTTTACAAAAAGATAAGTCTTCTCAGGCACTATGCAGAAGTTGATCGAGTCTTACGAAATTTTCAGCAACTTTGTGTACGAATGACACAAAGCGGTGATGGACATTTGAAGCAATATCTGAATGATACAATGCTCAACTTTGATTCGTCGACACGCCCAACAGCCAAACAAATTTTGGAATCATATTTGATCAAAAAGTGGTGCAATGAAAACCTCGAGCAGGTCGTTTTAAGAAGGAGCAAATTCGTATGATTAAACATTTAAAGATTTCAAGGCCTAAATATATTTCAATTCTTTCCGCCCAGAATTAAACATTTTTCACACTTCTTTTAAGGACAAAAATTATCTCGTAAAGCTTTTTATTTACGAGTTAGATTGGCAAAATCGCTCCAAACTGGATATTGATGGCTACAATTACGATGCATGTGAAGCAGTTCGTAATTTTAATTTCTAGAACATTGTTTCCGACTACAGAATATCGAGCCTTGATTTTATTTTGATTTTGCTGAATTATTGAAAATTGACGAATATATCCATCTTTTCCAAGTCCTCTTTTTGCTAAATCCTAAATCAATTTATCAATCCAAACCCCTATCGATACAACAAACTGATTAATAAAAACAGACAAAAAAAAACAATAATTTCTGAAATTGCATATTATTTATGTACTGACTATAATAATTTCTCTCTTACTGTTCAAAATTAACTCCAATTCGATTATGTGATTAGTACTATCACTGAAACGTGCAATCTTATCCTGTTAAAAAACCTGATTAGCCACTTCTCCTTCAATTCCGACTGATTTTTACTGGGATGATACATGTCGAAAACTTGAAAAGCAATCATTTGCTTATCGGCTACATGTTTATGATTGCGATAATTTGCGAATAGGAAGCGAAATTGAGTAAGTTTATTTTGACATTTACTCTTATTAATCATTGAATTCTAACAGTACTGACAAATGTTAACTGAAACTTTTAGACGATATTTTACACATGCTGATAATTCGTTGTTTCAAACACTAATGCTTGCTGTTGATGCTGGTCACCTTGAAATGTTTGACGTGATACCCGTTGATCAAAATATCCGAAGTCTATGTTTCTCGCTCATGAGAACTGCCAAATATCACCTATATAACTTTGACAAGTGTGAAGCTGAAGGTGTGTTTGTGTGGAATACCTTGTTTTGTATCTATTTCCTTCGAATTTTACCTATTAAAATCTAAAAATATTTGTAATTTTATGGTCGTTATCTTTTAATTAAAGTGAGCTGGACGGCAGACTATTTCTTCTTTACTTATTTTTGAAAATATTCTATCGTAACAAATTTATTTCAGTCTACAAAACCTTACTTTCAGAGGTGCTATTTGATTTGCCATCATCTTTCCACTGCAATGTGCGTTCAGCAAAAATCATTGTTTATTTTTTCCAGCTCATCTTACCATCTGATCATAAAAATTTGAAGACAGCTAACCCTGTGAAATACTCATTTACTTCCTATTATACTCTCCTGTATATTTATTTCATTCTTTCCTATTTCATGCAGTTGTTTTGTTCTTTGTAAGCATATTTAAATCACTCTTATAACTCATATCATTATATCATAAGCTCTATGTGATATCTTTGTCATCTTCTTCCGCATATGATCTCATTCAGTGTTGGTCTAATGAGTATAAATCGTTATCATATCTCTGTTAACGATCATTTTACATGTGTGATGAGCTTTTGATGCATTGACAGGTTAGGTAAAAATCCATCTATGCGACAGATAACTTGCATGCTATGAAATATAAGTAAAGTTATTTTGTTTATCTGAAATAAGTGCGCTGCAACGAACATTGTCATTTACCATTCAAAATGTGCTTGTACTATATAACTGTATGTATAAATTTCGCTTTCATTCTTCTCTAATTTTTTATGAATAAAATTAGCGCTGCCATATCTATTTTATTCCACAGCTGGTTAAAGATAAGTTTACTTCTACGAAAAAAACTGAAAAGATGACACACAAATGTGGTAAAAAGAAGGATCGGGAAGAAAATTTTGTTGCGTGAAAACAAAAACTAAATACGTTTGAGACATTTATAAATTATTGGTTCAAATTTAATTACTAACAAATGCTTTTTGGTTTGATCATAGGAGATTCAAACTAAAAGTGAGGAAAAGAGCAGATTTTCAATTCTTTATTTTCCTGAAATATGTTTTTAGTTTTTCTGACTCGAATAAGCGTCGGCTGCACATTTCGCTCAAAGCAGCAATGAATTTTTTGCTTATTCAAAGCAAAAATGCTAGAAGCCTGACAAGTTCTTCAGAGACAGCATGAACATTGAAGGCAATAATAAACAAATAACTCACTGGTGACTCATTTTTGTTTTTTCGAGAGGTTCTCTCACCTCTGTTTGCATCGCTCTCTTTATATAAATGTCACAACTTTATTTAACAAAACTTAAAACTAATTTTTAACTTGTGTATCTTAACTGTCCTTGTCGAATAATTCTAAAATTATGACTAGGAGAGAAAAGGGAAAGGACAAGAAAAACAGAGGTTTCTGAAAAAATTTCTGCACAATTTCTGCACACTCGTCGCCAATTTCAATTCTCAGTTCTTTCAATGACCCAAAAATTTAAAATATTACAAGCCATTTCTTTAATTTTCAAATATATCGTATGAGTAGTAGTGCTTGAAAAATACTGTTATTGACCTGTAATTTTCGGGAAAATAGAGACAAATTTCTGAGGCTCATTTATTTTCTGATAGTTACTTTTCAGATATAATTATAGGTAAAAAGACCTGCAACTGTTAATTACATAGGCTATATTACAAAGCTTTAGTTAAGCCGGAGTTTTGCAACCTGCTAATTCCACTACCAAAGATGTGTCGGAAGATTTTTGTTTTCATCCATAAATTTTCCAGAAGTGGTAACTTCACAATTATGTTCCTTGCCTACATTAACTAATAAGTAAAATGCATGCATGCAGCAAAATTTTCTGCAGCTAATTATCCAGACTAAAGTTAAGTTTTTTTGATTTAATAAACAAGCGATTCTGCGATATGGTATTAATACGCGAAAACTGCGCAAGCGCCTATAAGCTTTTACTTCCATGCCTTCCGAATGTATATTGGACATTGATACCACTTTTATTCTTTCTTTCGGGCTTCTCGATGACATGTAATTTTGCCTATTCGCTAGTTAATAAACATGTGCCAAAATTCCCTTCTCAAGAGTGAATTTAAAGCACCCCAATACAAATAGGTGCCGAAAAAGTGATTTCACGATATATGCTGTTACAGAAAAGTTTGTTGTCTTTCATCAACTTCTTTGTCTCTTTCATCATTGCGATGAGAGAGCAAGATGAGGTGGTAGCTGAAATAGCATAAAATGGAAAAAAGCGAAGATATCTCAAACCAATATGAAGTGGTTTGCAAGTGCTAACTAAGTAAATGGCAAAGAATTGATTCAATCTCCAATTAGAAGAAAAGGTATGTACAGGATTAGATGCCATCTTGTAAAAGATTCCGTCGAACCATTAACTTTAAAAAGAGAGTTCCTATTGGCTAAATTATTGCAAGATAATGCTACAAGATTGCTAATGTATTCGGCCCAACAAATGATTTTATTTAGTTTCAGTTTGTAACGATATGATTGGAAAAATCAATGGTAGATTTTAGAATGCCTCAAAATCAGGTGCATCATTTTAATTTTGGTTTATCACTCGAAGATTTAATTTTGTTAGTCAAGAATATGACTCCCAATAAGTATACTGCATATTAGAACTGATCTAAATGTGAACATTTTGATCTAATCTCGACTGGCAATGAACAGCCAGACTGAAACATTTAATTTCGTTCAAATTTTTGTAGTAAGAATTAATTCTCTCACAAAAAGATAAAAAAGAATGATTTCTAACTGATTGGTACCAACGTTTTTCAATTTTTGAAGTCTTAATGTAAAATTAATAATACATTGTATCCATTTAGCTCTAAAGCTCAGTTTAACGACATGAGGATCGATAAAAGTTCATTTGATATCTCTCAATGAAATATAGAAATGAAGTAACAACGCAACAAAGATGGATAGCAAGAGGAAGAAAGTAGTGGGTAATATAAGAGTTTTGTTTACCTATGGGCTAGGCAATCAGCAATCTGGGATAGCTGGCACTAAGAAAATGCAAACCTTCCGAAGAGCATCTTTACCATCATCATCAGTCCAGTTCGTGTATTTTGTTTTGCAGTTCATTTAGAAATTTCACGATTGCCCTCCGGCTCCTTTTATTTCAGTTTCCTGAATTGTTGTCTGCCCCTGAATGTTTTCTAATTTACCTCGTTTCGAGTGGCAGATATCCCTTTCCTTTCCCGCTCCAATCTGCACTAATCTGCACTGTTATTTTCCCTCAGCTAGACAGCCTACTTATTCCAAAATATCTTGATGAAACCAAAGAACACTGCTATGTCTATTATTTCCCTACTTTTATTCTATAATCTTTGCACTCCCACCTGTTGTTTACAAAAATTTTCAAGAAGCACGTATCACTTACGTCCTGAGCTTTTATTGGTGAATTTCATCACTGAACATTTTACTGGAAGTAGAAATATTTTAAGTTAACAAGACAGACGCAATACTAATAGAAATATTATGGTTATTAGAAATTGCAGTACAATAACAATTAGTAGCAATTTAGGGTTTACAGCGACTGTGCCAAAGTTTCATTTCATTATTAACTATACAAAGAAATTCAATCATGGAATTTTTAATTATCTCTTCGTTATTTGCCTACTCTTTTATTCTAACATCATTCTGGTCTGCTTTCTTTGACGGATTATAAAGTTTTGAAAATCGTGCAGTATTGTTAAGAAAAGGATCGAACTAATTGCTGCTATTAATTGTTGCAGAGCGATTTCTAGCAATGAATAAGCGTTTTATCGTCAAACTACTGCTAAATTTCATATAGAAAAGTGAAATGAAATGTAGGAAGTTTGAAGACACAAATACATAATTTTCAAAAATTCGAGTACTTCGATAATGTTGTCCATTAAGCAGTCAGATATAGATAATTAGAAAAGATTTGAATTTAACTATTTGTATTACATTACAATATCAAAATACTTTGGAACCAAAGTAAAGTCCGCTCATTGGATTATTCTCAATCTTTCGCAAATCGGTTTTCAATTTTCAATCTTCCATACAGTGCTTCTCACAAATGAAAAGGTGATTTACCGGTGACCTTAGCTGTTTTAGTGAATTTGGCAACTCATTAACACTGCAGTAAAATTCAAATTGTTAACATAAGACTATAAAAAAAAATGAAATTTTACAGACTTTTGTCAAAAAGCCTTTTTACTCCCAACTTTTTTTTTGATAAAATAACTGGTTGTAATGATTTAATCCATATTCATTCTAGAATGAAGGCTGAGAATCTTTTCATCAGTCTGATTTTTTGATTAGATGCCCTAAATAATTCCGGTTTTTACTGATTTTTTTAGTTCAAATTTCATTTCTGTTTAAAATTTTTCGAAATTAATTTATTTGTGTTGGTACACGAAAAATGACTCTCAGATTTATGCAATATGCAAAATCAGAAACATAAATGTTCCAAGAAATGGGTATGAGAAATTAGGAATTATAAGCTCTCCGTCAAAATACTCTGTTTTTTTCTTTAAATCATAAAGAGTTTCAGGCTTTAATGCTCAAATCAAAGTTTAGTTTTGCTTTTCTATAACCTAAAAAAAAACCTAAAATTACACTGAGCTTTTTAGCATTCTATCATTAAATAAACTTAGGCGATAGGAAATAAATCAGTTATGTTTGCTTACTAAATTAAAGAAATAGAAAAAAAGTAGTGGATCCGGAATGAGTAAAGAACAATCAATGTACGTTTGAATATTACCTCCGAATAACTTAGCAGGAATTCACTAATTTCGTACAAATATGTGTTGAAATGAAACCTTTCAAATGGGTTAGATTTTAAAAAAAATCTTAATTTATAACAATTTCTGTATGAAATTTACGGGACCGAACTGTCAATGCTTCATAAGTTTTGAATGCTCAATTTCTGCTGCAATAAACACAATACTTCGTAAGTGTGGGAGAAATTTTCCAATTTGCGAATATGCATTGCGTTTCAACAAATAAAGAAACGAATTAAATCAATTTCATAGATTCTTTCTAAGATGATATGTTCAATTTTAAAAAATTTTCATGCTGAGCTTATTGAACCTTCCTAATGCCAAAAGTTGTCACAAAACATATCACACAATCTCAAATTAGCTAATATTCTTTACCGCACTCTACCTTACCTTATATTCCTACCATCTCAAATGAGCCTCATCTTTTTTTAAATTTTATTTTTAGTCAAAAAAGAATTTGAAAGTTTTTTACACAAGAATTGCTAGTAAAATTTATTCATTTGTCAATTCCTGCTTTGGCACTATGTGTCCGGGAGTGTAAGTATTAGTATTTTACATGGTGTTATCCTTGAGCGATTGTTTAGCAAACTTGGTCATACTATTTCCTCCATTAAAACAAGTCGTCATCGAATTTGGGCAAAATGTGTCGAGTGCAATGATGATTGGGAAGTAGATGAATAACATTGGAATTTTGATCTTTATCTTTTTCTTACTAATCTCATCTTTTTCAACAATTATTTTGTGAAATTTCTTTGTGATACATCCTTCAAGTTTTGTCCTGTTATCTTTTTGTTCTACCATAAACAATTAATTTTAAACAATAAATTAATGAGTGATGGTGTGCTAGTGCAGATATCACCATCATATTAATAATGACATTTCCATTTTTCATTTTTGCAAAAGCTTTACAAACAAGTAACACGCTAATTATATTTATTATTAAGAATATTGAAGTAAATCATCGTGTTTCTTTCCCGGAAAAGGATAGGAAGAGTAGAGAATATCCATTTCCTTTATCTTCGTAATTTACATCAAAGAGATTTTCAGTCCTTCACGAACTCAAATAATTCTGCTCATATTCAAAAGTTCATAGGACTGTATGGTTACCTTTCTTATCCGTACAAAATTTTAAGAGTCGCTACAATCAAACTACAATTACTGGAAAAGCAGTGGGTCAATAAAATTTGGTGTTTAAAAGTGAATACCAGTCACTTACTGTTTTTTCTCTCCTTTTTTGTCTATTGTCAAGTAAGAAAAGAAATTGATATTGATAAAGCAGTTAAAGTGATATATCTTTTCATTTATGAAGAGTGAGCTTTTTGAAAACTTTGAGCAAACTCAGATAATATGCTGATCAACAGGTAGGTAGATCTAATTATCACTAATTCAACAAAGAGTTGAATTAAACAAATGGGTTTGAAGACCATCAATTTAAACTTTTATTTCAGTAGTTTGTTTCTATTAACTGCATCGAATCCACTGTTCTAAATGAATCAATTCAGTTCACACTAATACATTTGTAATACTTTTATATATAATTCTAGCTTTGTAGAAGTGCTTCAGTCATAATTTTTTTACATTTTTGAAACGAAGAGGATTTAATGACAGCTGCAGGGTAACAACATTGCTTTCTGGAGGAGGTAGTTTAAAAAAAGCAAATTAACATATGAAAAGTAGAATGTAGATGCATAAATTTGCACCCATACATAGTTTTCATTCACTGATGTATTTTTTGAAATGTGATTCTTTAAATATGAACTCACAAGCTCCTTTTATTTATAATATTAAAGATTGTGGATGCTTTCTGATTTAGGCGATTCCTGACTTGCTTGGATAAGGATACAGTTAAAATCTCCGTGAAAAACCACTCCGATAAGTCAATTAGTAAACAAAGAGAGCTATGGACAGGCATATTCAAAATTTGCTACTGAACTTACAAGCTGGAGAATGCATTGTATTTTGAATGTCACTGTTACATGGTTATCCAGCTGTAAATACACAAATGTATTGAATGATTACAGGAAACAACAACTAATTGTCTCCAGCAAACTGCATGATGTAATACTCCTGTAAAGAATGAATACAATGTTGTTTCTCTTGGCACTATCACCAATTATGATTTCATTCTAAGAATACTATAAATAGGAATTCTTGTCTTTTCGAAGCAATAAAATAGCTAAATTTCTAACATTCATAAGGAGAAATTATGAAAAAATCTGCCCAACTTTTCTGGTACAGCATCATTTGAGGTTTTATTGTGCAGGAATTAAATGTCATGTCCAAAGATATACTTAGCTATAATTAACGTTGAGCGGTGATTTTGTCCAGAAGAAAAAGGATTAAATGGAAGAGAAAAAGCGCCTAATTCTTTTAAGGATACAAGAATAAAGGTTTAGTCTTATACATAAAAGCTAGGAATCTAAAAAATTTCTGTGTAAGGTTGAAATTTTTTGTCGGAGAGTAAATTAAGCCTGTATTAACATCCAAACATTATCCAATATATTTCCCACTTTCGTTCCTTTCTTTTTGCAAAATTTGTTGCTCATTTTTTGCAGTTCTCTTCAATTTCTTGCCTATTTTCATTTTATCGATAGATAAATTTCATCTACCCGATGAAATTTTGATGGAATTTTATCGAATGAAATTTTAATCGAATTTCAGTAAATTCGAAAGATCAAACTAGCAGAAGATTATTGTCCTTCAGCATTCTGATGCTGGGGACTTCGTGTCTCAGAGATAAGCAGCTCTTACTGACCAACAGCAGTTTGGATGATTTCTTGCAACATTATGTGTTTCCCATACAATTCATACTTGGTGTTGCCGGTAATTCCATCAATCTGGTCGTGTTACTCAGCAAAGGGATGCGTTCAAAGGTTTCTTTCCTCTTATTTTCATAACACCTGTATGAATTTTAACAACTTTCCAACTTTTTAGATTTGCCAATATTTGATATGAATTCGAAGATACATGCCCATTTTCATTTCAAATGAACGAAAATATTTTTAGACAAATTCATTATTGTCAGCAATGGCATTTGCGGATTTGGCCCTATTATTTTGCATGTTACCGCATTCGTTGGCCTCTTTTGAAATCGCATATCGCAGCTATACATTTCGCTATTTTTATTATGTCAGCAAGCGGCAATTAAATGCGTTCGCAAATTTCTTTTCCACAGCAGCAACTTGGTTCGTCTTTTCCCTATTTTCGTCTTTTTTTTCTTTTACTCTATGAACTATTGAACTATGAGATATGCAAATAAGTCGAAGTTATTGCTACCTTTATATATAATTTATAATTTTATATATCCATACGAATGCTTTTATTTATATTTTATTCAATGAACGATAATTTGGAAAATGGCTATTTGCTAAACAGAGTTTTTTTCATTCTCTCCATCCATATTAATACTAATTTGTTCTATTTCAACAAATCCCTTAACCGCACAAACATCAAAGATTCGATTGATAGATAAAATAAATAAATATAATACAATTTTTTATGTTATTTATTTCTGTTATTTCTATTCGTTTGGTATATTTTTCTCTATTGCTGTATTTTATGCTTCCCACTTTACACTCTTATATTATTTTTTGTGACAATATGTCTTTTATAACGTTTAGAAATTGACGTCGATAATGTCAAATGAGGTACCAAACACAAAATATTCATGTAACGCTTTGACCTTGTTAATGTTATCAACATCTAATTCTCAGGTTAGTGCTTACGGTATCTGTAGAACGATTTATTGGTATTCGATCACCGGTTCATGCTCATTTTAAATGGAAAGAAAAAGGTGTCTTACTGATTATTGTGCCGATATTCATTGGCGCATTTGTGATCACATTTTATCATCAAATTGCTTACAAATACAGCATACATACTGTATGCAATGGCACTCAGTTAAAGGGTAACGTCAGGCCGGTTTGTTCTTTGTCATTTTACTCACTTTTGTCTTCAATTAATTGACAGATGACAAAATATATTCGGTTTGGGAATCAAATATTCGACGGCTTTCCAATTATATTCAGTGCTGGCGGAGGTGGGCATTGAAATGGTCGTTTATCAGCTTCTTGACAAATTTCATGATGATATCAGTGGAACTTAATCAATCAGCTGATTAAAGTATTTGAGATAAAGTCAAAATATAATCATTGAAATGTTTTATTGCTCGAGACATCTTTCACATATCATGAGTTCATAAAATGTCATTTGAAATTATTAAAAATCCTGGTCTCGATCCCGAAAAAATATAATGCTAAGAGATTTTAAACTAAATTCGATTATGGTGATAAATTTTGCAAGTTCCATTTTCGTTATCCTAGATTTCCTCGTTTATACCTTTTCAGTCCTACATTTAGCAAATTTTAAACTTAAAATTTATTAAAATAACGAAATAGGATGTAAATTGCAGATAGATTATAACTGGACTGGAAATAAGCTATATGGTAATGTGCTGACAAATTATATTCATTATGGGAAGTATTTGCAATTGATAACAGTTATCTTAGTACCCATTGTTGCCGTTGCATTCCTCAACGTATCACTCATCTGCCTGATGCGTAATCGTATGGTAACACGACGAAATCGCAATACCAGTGATTATAGGTTTAGTTTCTTATTATATTTCTGGATAAAAAAGAGCTAGGTAAATAGGATAAAACAGAAAAAAGAAAGAGATAGGCAGACAGACAAGGTTAAAATGTACAAGGTTGGGTAAAGAAGAATGGAAAAGGTTTTATTTTTGTTTTCAAATTTTAAAATAAATTTAAACGTAAATACCCATCATTGCAGTATGCTACGAAATTGTAACGATACTGGAATAATGCAACGACAGGAGAGGAAAGTAACTGTTACCGTATTAGCAATTGTAACCTGTTTTACTATAACCCATGTAAGCTTCCAAACTTTTATCTGTTACCTTCTATTTAATTTGGATTCAATAAATTATTTGCTTACATGTTACTATTTGGCTTATTGTTTTAACAGTTCGTACATCGAACCAGTCTTGGGAAGTTATTCTGGACCAATTTTGCACGACTACCAGGAGAGAAATCCCAAACATGGGACATCTTTAACAAATGCAGTTATCAAAGACTGTGTGGATTTTAGGCACCATCACTGATACCTTTCGTTTGGGAAACATTTGGCATATCTAAGGAGAACCCATTGCCTTTTTTAGCAACAGTTAGCATTGCTAATTCATTGCTTATCACCGGAAAAGTTCTTAATTTTGTATTATTTTGCTCAAGTTCAGTGCATTTTCGTCGCCGTCTTATGCACATATTACTTCCCCACTTCGTAAGTTTTTCATTTCACTAAATGCATCCAATTTTTGCATAATGAATAACTTTCACATGCATCCCAAACGGAAATACATGCTAAGAATTGTTCCAAATTTCCTGTAAAATTCAGATGAGGCGGTCAGAAAGCAGAAAATCGAAAAAAGCATCAACATCACAATTCAAAAATTCTACATCTGTACCTCAGATGCGAAAGGTGAACACATCCTTCAGTCGACGCTCAATTCAATGGCAGGATTCAATGAGAAGTAAATTTCTGGCTGAAGGAAACAATTGAAGCATACCGTTTTTTTCTCTCTTAACTCTCTTTCTCTCAACATTTTACTCATTAAAAATGGAAACTTCCCGAAATTTTTCGAACGAAGGAAATGTAATTCTTGAGGGGCAAATTTAAACATTATTACTGTTTTCCATGAAAGTTGCAACAGTCGTACGAATCACAGTGAATTTGCACTACAAGTATGGGCTTAAAAATAAAACTCTTTTTCTTCTTTCACTTTTTTCCTGTATGGCATCGTTATGTTAAATCGAATTGAATCGAATTAAACTTAATTGAATTACTTCAAATATTCGAATGTTTGTCTGTTGACAATATTATGTCCTTGTTTGATCTCACTTTTATTTATATGAGATTTTTAATAAAACATATTAAAAATGGATTATAAAGTAATCTTTGTATCATATCGGAAATGACACTCAAAACAAATGGACATTATTTAGTGGGAACGAGATAGGAAAGAATTTTATATCTTTGTTTTCCACTGACCCCAACTCAATCCCAAAAAATATTCAGTTAATTTACGTAGTATTGCGCTAAGCTAGCGTTCAAATCAAGCTCAGTAGAATCCGTCTGTTGCGAGATTTTTAAATTCATTGGAGGTGGTACATACGGTGCTTGTTTCGGTATATTGACAAAAAAAAATTCGTGTTGCAAAGCTACTTGTGCTGAATAACGTTCTTCAGCTGAGTAAACGATGAGCTTCTGTAGTAGAGAAAGACACGCTTCGGAAGCTAATGGCACTGAAAATTAATTTCATTGAAGTAAAATACTCTAATTTTAAACTTACAGTAATATTTCCAGGAAGATATCAAATGAACTTTGGTGTAACTATATAGAACACTTACATACAAATCTATTAGAAAAATTGAAAATTGTATTCAGAGTGCGACATGAAGACCGTGTGATCTTAATTAATGCTAATAAGCCGGAGAAATGCTCATATTGCTTTATCCAAAGTTTGCTCATTTTTAACTTGGTTCTGCTAATTTATAAAGTGAAGTGAGAATAAAGACGAAATTACCTATTGATTTCCAGTTGTCCACCGGTTTATTATCCTCAAAAATAATCTTACCATGATCCGGCATAATTTTCCAACCTTTCCAATTTCGTTCACAAGGTGAGCCAAGCACCGATATTAATTTTCCTATTTGTTCAATATCGTTTCTGCCCTGCAATAGATGATTACTTCATTAACAGACTTTTCGACATAAATTCCAAAATTTATGGAATGACGACGTTAAATAATGTTTCATCAGTTGTTCTTCTTAGAAATTGTGGTATTTATACTGGCCGCAATAAGAAGTACAAATTCAGCAAGCAAGTCTACACAAGCAAATCTCATTGGAATTCAAGTTTAAAATTTTAGCATTGATTTCCTATCTGAAATTCCTGTGCAAAAGATACTGCAATTCCATATATGATGTCATTCGTTATAGTGATTTATTGCAATCAAACGGTACCGCGAATAGTGGTGCGCCATTATAAAATTCAGTAAATATACACCCACAAGCCCACTCATCTACTTTAGGATTATAAGCTGTCGAACCAAACAATAATTCGGGTGCCCGGTACCATCTTGATGCTACCTGAAGTTATTACTTGACTTGAGAAACATGAACGCAGTACAGTGTTAAGTTGCTCATTCCTCAGCGTCCAAACATTTTCAATTTTCTCAGGAATTAACCGAATAAACAAAAACAGAAAAGTGGTAGCACAATTTTCCCCCTTCCTTTTATTTCGTTCATTATCCTCACCTGACAATCGTAATTTCGGTTCGGATCATCCGACACATAAATACAACATTGTCCGAAATCCGTAATTTTTAGTAGTCCTGTTGGTGTAATCAATACATTATCCGGCTTTAAATCCTCCAAACATTATGCATATTAATACAACCGTATCAAACAAAACACTACAATTAATTAGCCCGTTTTTTTTTCTTCAGAAGCAATTTCACTTCGGAATTAATAGCTCACCCGGTGCATGATATTCAGGCTATGGAGATAATCTAGACCGATAAATAATTGGTACATATAATATCGAGGAATTTCATCGTTTAATGGACGATTGAAATCCTCAATTGCCAATTTCAAACTGGATCCGACATATTCCATTACAAGGGAGACCGCATCCGCATTCAGAATCACATCAAATAATCTTACAACCTTAATTGAAAGTGATATAATTCAATAACAGTTTCTTTTAAAACAGATAGCAATCCATGAAGAAAACTTCAAAAAAGCTGTCAAGAAATATGATCTCAGAATGGAAGAAACAGTTCCTTTGCTTACTCAACAATAAAGAAGCGCTTCTAAAAAAAGAAATCTTCCAGCCTCTAAGTGATCGAAAAACTGAATGTATGTGGCGAACTATTCATGCTCATGAATAGATATTAAGAAACATTTTTGTGGTATGCATTTCGCAGGGCGAACACTTCTCGAATCAATGCAATTTCATTTCGACTATTTCGTTTCAGCGGTATTCGTTTAATAGCCACTTCCTCATGGCTCTAAAAAAAATGATTCACTGTGCTATTTGATAACCTATCATTTCGGATCCTATGTACAAGTATCAATTGCTACTATCCCAATAATCTAAACCAAATTGTCCTGTTCTGAAAATGACCAAGAAAATGAGACAGTCGAAAGGATTCACTAAAGAATATATAAGAATTCAATCCTAAGCAAAGATTTTAAAAATTATTACATTTGTTGATAAATTACAAACGATTGAGATATCCAAAAAATTATAGCCCCCGAATTTAGACACTAAATATTGCTACTGAGCAGTGACAATTTTGACATATTTATTGGCCAAGAACCTGCCTGAAAATGAGTTGCTTTCAGAACGACACCGAATGCACCTCGACCAATGACCGAGGTGATGTGATAAGAATCATCATAACCTTCGGATGTGTACAACCTTGATCTTGACATCGTTTTCCGCTTCTGCAATACATGAATATAACTGCTATTATGTTAGCATCCACAACTCTTAAAAATAATCTTTGAATGACGTTTGTACGAAAACCATCACTTTCATCAGCAATAATACCGATTTGATTGTTGAATAACGTCCTTTGATAAAAAGGGTGCAAATATGAAAAACCTCCAGAATGACTAATAACATCTTTCTGGAAAGACTGCACATCTATCCGAATAAAACGTTGGAATAAGTCCCTGCTCCCTCATTTCAGTTCCCAAACCGCTAATATATGGCTCTTTAGGTAAGAGAATTATTAAAAACCCAAAAAGAACTCAAAAAACTTTCTCTAATAAAGCATCATGAAACGCGCTTTCCAAATATGGAGAAAAGAATGACACCATATGTACATAAAAACTTGATTTTCATAAAACATCCACTCCCTACTTTATGCGGTAACTATGGAAACGTGAACAATTACCGCCGATTAATCTGCCACGCAGTACCTTCTCCACCTTATCATTGCATTGCAATAACAGTGTAAAAGAATTTAGAAAAATTGTGAAAATGTTGGTGCATTAAATTCTCAACGAAATGCATATTATGTGGTGTTGAGTGATATATTTTACTAATTGATAGACATGAAACAGTCACTATAATGATTGTTTCGGAAGATGCGGCTTTAATAATCATGCATGTGCTACGCATTAGGAATTTGTCATGTGATCGAAATTTTATGTTCGAATGCAGACAAAAACAAATTTTAACATGTAAAGTAACGATATAGAACAGAATGTATAACCGACTGTAAGAATTAAATTAAGCTTAAGTTTGTATAAAAACAATAATAGGACTAAATATATCCAAAATTTTTAAAATTTGAAAATTCGGTTGAAACAAGCAAAGAAATCTTAAATATACAACAATGTTACAAGTAGCCAAAAGATGAACAGAACAGCAGTGGAACGATGCCTCGATAATCGAACAACATATCGAGGCTCTCAGAAATGAATGAGAGCTTCTGAGCAGTTGTAAATGAGAAAAAGAAAACTGACAAACAATACAGGCACATACTGTGGACGGTCAGTTGTATATTTTATATACTTGACGTAGTCTGGATTTAACAACAAGCTAACTTGAACATAAAAATTAATCATTCAAGCGACCTTTTCGTAGAATCAGACCAATCATTGAGTTTTCTTCAAAAAGACTGCGTACCATATAAACCTGAAAATGCATTCCTTTAACAGTCCGACGTATGTCAATCAGTTTTTTACCACCGAAACTATTCATACATCCGATTTACCTGCACAAAGAACGCAAAAAGCATGATGACCAGGTGCAACACGCTCCAGAAATTTATCATTTCATAACTGCGTTCAATGGCAGTCCGATCAGCCAGTTCTATACTTGCATATTGTCTTTGCAACCTTTCAATGGTATTCAAATTATTCTTAACATTCGTTGTCACATTCTGAAAATGGAAATTCACTCTTAAAACAATTACCAGAAAGCAAAAAAGAGAAAATTAAACAAATCCAGAATTGGAATATTTGCTCACATGAAAGAGGTACCTGAAAATGGTTAATACGTGTATCCAGTGTACGCAAAACTTCTGTTCCAACGTTAATCTGTTGATCAAAACCTCCAAGAAAGTGACCCTGCGCATCCAAAAGAAATAATTCGAAAAAAACCCGCTTGTCCGATTGAATGCTGAATGCATTATCAAAACAAAATAAGTAGTCACCATAACCGGTACTGGTCATATTCAAATCAATCCTGAAATATTAATAAACTTCCAAAACTTTATAGACGGCTTTTTAATAATAAGCACGGTTTTGCATATCGTCAATTTACCGATGGAAGCTCAGTAATTTTTCTTAATCCAATTTCTTTCTCCAATAAAGAACAAAAATTCTAAAATCCTTCAGCCCGTAAATAGCGTAATATGAGTAAAAATACGGTTTCCCAAAAAATTTTGGTTAAGCGATAGTTCAATATTGAGAAAAAAAAGAAACTTTTAGCAGGACAAAAGGTTATAACAAAACTAATTTTCTACAGACTTGTGCGTCCCATCAGTATGTTTCAAATCATTGATCAGAGATAGTCCTTTCGGTGATGTAATAGAGAATGTAATGTCACCACCCGCAATGACCTGTAATTAAAATATCGACTATTACATGACATAGGTGTATTATGAATCAAAAAGTACTAATTCTCATCAAAAAATTAGTAAGGACATTACCTGAAAGTCAATTTCAAATGACTGATATTTGTTATTGGTAATCGTAAAACCATAGCACTCCGTCTTCCCTGCCGGCACAATTATTGTATAATCATACTCATCTGCTATTATCAGGTACGTTGATAATAAAAGAGATAGGAGACGATGTAGGATCATTATCACAGCATATCTATCCCTCAATAAGCAGAAAATTATTTCTACTTTTGTAAAATTCTTCAATCATTTTCTCCCAAAACTAGAAAAAATTTTTTGGGACAAGTTATAGTGAAACGAAGAATGCAAAGTATGTCATCCGCTGATACATGACAGCAGACGGGAAACAATCATACTCCTTTTAAAAGTAAACGCTAGAAACACAAGTTATACAAAACTGTCCTCAGATACTATTTGTACCGATCACAACATATCGCCATGAATTAAAATTGCACTTCGTAACACACGGTATCAGATAAAGTAATAAGTTGGTGATAAGTTCTAATCGGTATAAGTAATCCCGGAGCAATTTATTTGATGGCTTGTGTCCCTAACCTTTACCTTTACTGAAAAATATTCCATCTTTCTTGGAGATTGACTTATCTTTTGGCTTTTTGTAGATGGTGTTTAACTAACATTTCTGTTGATCGTTACCAACCTCAATACACTCATTTAGTTCGACAAGTCATTATTCACATCAGATTTTCTACAGCTTGCAATTCTGACTTCAATTAGCGCTAGCCATCCGTTTAATAGAAAAAAAAATCCTCCAAGAAAAAGAAATCAGCAAATTGGTTTCAGGCTTACTCAAGAATTGAAATCTAGGCTTTTGAAAAGTAAGTGGAAATGCATACGGTAATCACAACTAAATGCCTATTTTATACATTCCCTAGTTTTTTTAATTTGACATAGGTTTAACACCTGCATTTTGCGGTACTCTTTTTGATATATACATTTTCTAAACACTGAAACTCAATACTAAGTCATTTATTCTATTTATGTGGCCTGAATTGTAAGCTTTTATGAATAAAACTTTTCTTACATAAAGATACAAAAAAGGTACATCAGCAAGCTACAAGCATTGTGTCCAAAAACTTGTATATATAACATTTTATTTATACTAACTAATCTAAAACAATTGGATTTTCAGTTGCAAAGAAGCGAACTCAATAAACCGCAGATGTATTCGAGATCGCACTAACCTCGAAATACGGTGAAAATAACAAGGAAAACAAATCAGTCTACCGTCGAATTAACCAGAGTTTTATCATTCATCAATTTTGCACTTATCAAAGTTATTGATAAAATAAGCAATTCAAAACTAATTGATACATTTATTTTTTACAAAAAAATCCTTATTTCTTCTATCATCTCACCCTTTCTAGATTATCCTTCTCCTGTCCAAAATCAATTACTGATAAAATCCTGTAATTTCACATAAAAACAAACAATTTAAATTATCACAATACGTATCATTGTTGCCTTCCCATGACAGAAATATAGGTCATTTCTATATCATAAACTGGTCACATGGAAGTACAGATAAATGTGTCAAAAACGTTGCCGCCTTAATAACTGTCCCAACTTCGAATTATCTTCAAACAAACTTCTTATCATATACACCTGGAAAACACAATACATTAACATGGAATGACAATAATCTCTTCTCAAAAAAAACAATTGGAAATAATGACAGTTTATAAACCACATACCTGTAATAAACCAACAACTACTAGAATGACAGAGTTGACTACTGACCATAAGGTCACACGCTCGAGATTGGCATTCATTATCGCTCGATCGCGAGCTTCATAAGCTCGCAATAACGATTGATGATATTCGACTTTATTTAGTAAATTTTTAATGTTATTGGATGCTTTCTAAAATTAGAATATATCATTTTCATCAACTTTTCTCCAGCAAAAAAAAAAAATGCAAAATCACATTGCATGAAAATAGAGAGAACCAATGATAAAACCAGTAAAAATATTCGATCAATTGCCATTTTATATAAAATAACGCACTTTTAAGTACCAAGTCTTTTTCATATTTCTTTGCATTATGGTCTATATTCCTAGGCAATGTATTTAGAAGGACGGGTAGGTGAACAACAGAAAGACAATTTTTTAAAAAGATGGATGACACCAAGAAAACCAACAATCAGTCCCAAGGAAACCAATGAGGAAGTTACAAACTTTCTGAGAGCTTAGTTCTAATTTTTGTCAAGAACAAGGCAACATACCTGGAATTTCTGCATTTCGAAACCAAGTCCACTGTATTCCTCCCTTACAGGACCAAATTCCTCAAGCATGTTTGTTTCATCAAAACTTCCATTTTCATCTAGTAAAAAAAGTTCAAAAAATAGAACTTTACGTGTTTGATAACTAAATGAGTTGTCAAAACACAGCTGGTAGTCGCCAGACTCCTTCATCGAAAACCTTTAACAATGCAATCAACAAAAACCAATGATTGCACTTTAAAAAAAAACCTAAAACATTTTAAAATATTCGATGCCTCCTCCTTAGTAGTATCCTACAAGCTACTATAAATTTCGGATTAATTCATCCACCCTCAGTTCAACAATACTATATTATATTATGAAAGCAACTCCCACAGCTACTATTATTAAAAAATTTAAAAAGAGAAGTGCATAAACGAAAATCAGCAATCTGCCGATGATGATCAATTAATTTGCACAAACGAAACGCAAACCTTACTTATGGCTTCCCTCCACCTTTTTTGTTTCTTGCAGTAAAATTTTGTTACCAAAAAGCATCATGAAATTGATATTCAAATCGCCACCATCAACCACCTAAACTGTAGTTCGAATGTGATTTCGTAATTTTTCCTTCTTTTGTTCTCATGTTAATAAAGTTAATTCATTACAGACCAGATTCCAAGTTTCAAGATAACTGCACTAAGATAACTCTAAACTCGAATTCGACTAGGAAAATGAGAAACGTATTTACAATCAGTATCATTCTCAGCAGTAAGTTACAAAAACAAAAATAATTTGACAAATTCTAGAGAAAGAAAGAAAGAAGCTTGCCTGATAATCAATTTCCATAAACTTGTGATGAGTATTATTAACTGTCTGAAAGAAGCAGCTATGTTTTCCAGCGTCCACCTCAACTGTGTAAGCATATTCAGCTCCGTGGCATACATGAATGAATAGGCTGAGAATGCATAGGACGAAAAAATCTGAATCCATCTGATCTGTAACGCGTAATGTATTAGTTTTAGCAAATATCGTTTCTTTTTTAATTGGTATATTAGTCATTTTTTTGAAACAGAAGAGAAATCAATCTAGCAGACTGAAAATAGTAACCCTTTCTATACACTTAGAACATTTTGCAAGAGCATATGTAAATGTCAAGTCTCCACTTGAAACATTCTGATATAATTGTTGGCATTAATGGCTTTCGGTCAAACTGGCGCACAGTTTTCAAATGATCGAAATAAAATAATCTGTCTGCACAAAAAATGAGACGAGAACTCTTTTGAAAAGACCTATCTTCTAATAATTTGCTCATTCTACGTATTGGCCATTTATTTTTAACTGCCAGCACAATTACGGCTTGAAATAACCAACTCGGAATTTTACACGTAACCAATCGTGCACAAGAACAGTTAAACGTAATAAGGACGGTTTTTTGGCAGGCAGTATGGTTTGCAATTTTCGTGTTTGTATTTTACGGTTTATGTAAAACGCGGCGAGTACTAGCATGATGTCATGATACGTGGCGACTGAAACAATAACGTGGGAGTGATTGAAGGAGTGGTACCGGGTAGGAGTGACGTAAATAGAATAAGTAGGAGAAATGAACTTGTGATAAGTGGTACAGTATGATGTTGCCTGAACTCATCTACAATGATATGATAAAAAGTGGTATTGGCAGGTATTCGTTTTACAGATTTCCTTGTGGTAAGAGAAGCTTTCAGCTAGTCTGGAGTACTGCTTATCAGTTACTGGACATTATGGACTATGAAATTTGCGAAGTCTTGAATAATAGTGAGAGCTGAGGTTATTGAATTGTTCGGCCAAGCTTACTGTTTTTATTTTAATCTCCTTTTGTAGGTTCCATATTCGAGAAATTAAAGTTGGAATTGAAAGATTTATTTGCTTGATCTCGAGCTTATTTATGATCTCATCGATGACTACCTTAGGGCGACGGATCGAACCTAAGCCCTCAACAACCAACATATCTGAAGCTATTCCACTCCTACTCGTTCCTGTTGTTCGACAACCTGCAGTAGCAATCTCCACCCAGTTCATTCCACGCACAATTTTTGTTGATGTCCAAAGTTTGCAAGCAAACATGGATGCCAATAGAGAAGGTACAACCAGCGTTTTAGATGGATTTGAAATTTTAAAGAAGTTTAGACAAAATTAGGCAATATATTCCAATTATTATCTGGAAAATAACAGTAATAATTAGTAAGATTAGGATAAGGTTGTGATAGAGTCTTTTATTTTGAAAAAATCTTTGTATCGAGCACTATTGTAATAATAGTCTCCTTTTTCCAGCCATCCTTCCCCGCTGTATATGTATTTATCTTTTTATACTGATCAAACTTAAGTCATTACTCTTGTTCTGATCTAGAATTGTCTCGCATCTTCACAATCCTTTCGTAGTTTGAGTTTATTTTTTATTTTGGTTCTCGTGTTGTGTAGTTTATTGAGAATGTACACATGCACACACACACACACACACACACACACACACANNNACACACACACACACACACACACACACACACACACAAACTTAGAATCTTTATTATTCGTATTTGACTTACTGTCTTCATTTTTTAGCATCAATTCGAATATATTCTCTTGATTTGTCATTTTAATTCTTTTTAACTAATTTTTATAAGACATTACGGTTGCAGTCCATACATATTCATATTATTTTTAATAATGCAGTTGATCTTTCTTGTCACTTTGACTCTAATTCGTTAATACCATACTTTCAGTTATCTTTTCTGCTATACTATGCTTTTAGGATTCATTCAAATTAAATAGGAAAGTTACGTGATTCTTTAATATCACTTGTATTAAACGGCGGAAGGTGATGTAAAGCGCAAATATTATATAACGATTTATTTGTGATGTTGGCACAATGTAAAAAAGTTTGTCATTAGAGGATAACACTTTAGTCCACCTTTTCATCCTGATCTAGCTGTTCGTCAAATTTTCGAAGAGATAAGGCGTTGAATCATGGAGGTAGTGAGGAATAAGGATTCCATCTCTGTTAAACCGTATTAAGTAAAATACAGAACAATATCAAAGTGCAAACAAGGACTTTCCAAAGCTTCGAATGATCTGTCAAACTTACTGAATTCATCAAATCTTATGCTTTATACCTCTTTTAATCGTTCTTCAGCCTGAAAGAAGCCAACATGCTGTTAAATGCATTTATTTTTAGTTTTTCTTTTGCATATCTCAAAATCAAGAAATTCTATTGTGTTTACATTAAGTTTTTTCCTTTTTCCTCAAAATTTTGTGACACTCACTTACTTGACCTATTCCATTTCCAGTTTACATCCTCTCTTCAATTTCTAGTTTTGGAACAGAAATTTTATCATTAAGAAAAGTGAAAATAAATTTTTGTTCGCTGTTGTAATAGTAAGGAATTTTACTTGAAGATAGGTTTTGGTGTAGCAGCTGTTGGAGACCAAAATTAATGTTGATGCCATGTGCAAAATTGTTTGGATCGACAGAATGCTAGCTTCTTTGTTGTTTTCTTTGCTTTTTTAATTCCTTTTCACTGTTTGTAAATATCCGCTTTTGTTCGTTTCTGAATTATTCGAAGTTTGATATATTTTTCCTGAATTAACATCCAAAATTCATGTTTCACTCTTATTATTCCATTGACGGCTATTTGATAAATGACGAAATTACAGCATGAATTATTAAGTTTTCAGTTCTGCTTCTATTACAAAAACAGATATATAGTGTATTGTTTCTGGATGAAACATGGAGACAGATAAGCGTATTAATAATGATCTCACATCATTTGTTTGCTGAGTACTTTAGAGAACACCATATGATCGGAAGTAATTTTTCTTTTTTCTTGACAGAATGAAGAGTCGCAAAGAACTAAGTGAGCAGACACAGAGACACTGAAAATTTAATCTAAATTGACAGAAACTATTGCTTATGCTGTTGCAGACAGCCGTAATCTCTAAGATTGAGCACTAATAACAAAAGCGATATAACGAATCTTTAAGCAAGATGTGATACCATATACATAAATATAAACATAAATAAACATATATATTCCTTAAATGCAAAGAAATATTTAATTTTTTTTTCTTTTTGAGTTGTATAGATACTATGTGTGAGTATCTGTGGCTGTATGATGCTGAATGTTTGTCAGCTTTTTAAATTTTTATTAACAGTGAATTTCACTTATGCTTATTCTTGTATTTTATTTTCATCACTAGTAACAATTCATTTTCCTTGAAGCCAAATATGAAGATTATCACTTAGGAAATTTTTACTAAGATTTTACTACGATATTTTACTAAGATTATTTTACTAAGCTTTTACTAAGATTGTCACTTAGTAAAAGCTGATGTTTTATGGAAATCAGTTTATCTGAAGCTTATCAAAAAATTTAGCGAGAAATGCAGTCATTTAGTGCTCCACTTTAGAAAATGTTTTATTTTCATCTCATCTTGTTCTGTAAAACATGGTATACATTTATCAAGGCAAAATTTTACGCTTATTTAATTGTGGCATTCTTTCACTTATTCCAGGAAGTACTTTTTCTTTTCGGATCGTAATTGATTAAGCGGATGTCCACGTTTTATCTCTATTAATGTAGAACTTTGATTAACAGTATTTAATTTTATTTTTAACTATGTGCAGCAAAGAGAGATAGAACAATCTCCTTTTACAGCTCTTCGAGTGAAATTAGAACGTCGTCCAGCACAGGGATATCTTATACAACGTGGCATTCTTCCAGGTAATTCAATTTCTTCGTATTTTCTTATTCTCTTTTGTCTTTTTTCTTCTTTATATGGGAAAATTTCTTTTAGAAACTGCGATATGCAGAAAGTTTTAGATAATTGGAAAATTGACAAAAAAATGAAAAGAGTTGCAGCTTTTCGAAAAAATTGGGTTAAAGATTGGACTTAAACATTTCCCTAAGTGTTACTGAAACAAGTAGAACCAACTTGAAGGGATGGAGCTTCCGAAAACCAGTTTCTAACCCCATACAGTGTTCCGTTTGTATAAGAACCGTTCATCAATTTGTATAAATCACTTCCACCAATTTTTACGTTGGTTGTATCATCAAAGATCAAATAATGTTCAAGACACTTTTTTATTGCCTGTTCTTCCCTTTCACCTTTATGAAGCATGAAAACTCAATTTGTCTTTTTTACGACTCATTACCATTGTGACATTTACAGTTGACGAATTTTGACAAATGATGTTTTTTGATTTTCTGTATATGAATAATGCTGTTAGGGCCTCGTTCGGAATAGCATAAGCACGAGAGTATCCTTTTATTTCTTCAATAACAATTCGGCTTTTCTTTGATATTCACTACCGATGACTTATAGCAAATAAGTGGGAGACATGTATGGACTTATGTCTCCATCGTCGTTCTTAAATCCCAAGTCCTTTATCATATATGCTTCCTTGATTTCGTTTATGAAATGAAGAATGGGAAAGACTTTTTCTATGAAATCCTTCAAATTTCCTCAATCATTGAATAGTTTCGTTTTTTCGAGGTTTAGCAATTAAATAAGTAGTATAATGAAAGTCATTGTTGGCTGTACTGATTAGATTAATACGTCGAAAAATTCTTAAACGATAGGTTATAATTTCTGTTTATTATCATTTTCAAATATTAAGTAGCTTTAAAACAGCTACAATATGATGAAGAATGTTGATTTAATGTTTTTCCAGAGGTTAGAAGGGTAACTTAGACTTCCGGCTCTGAGTTGATAGTTTATTGTTTCATGATTTAACAAAATATAAGACTTCCGGTTGCCTGCATGTATGATTATTTTGCCTAAGATTAATACTTTTCCGTAGTCAACAGGAAATGAGGGTCGGGCTAGTGGTGTGAAATGCGATCAGAAAAATGAATGTTGTGACGTAAGTGGAGGCACTACTTCATGTGTGAGTATGTATGTCTATTTATGATTCATCAAAAAATACGATGTTTTCCTAAAGGGTATTGCTGCTGATTAATCCGTTGCAGGAGTTAGGGGGGATGCAAGCATGGTTGGATTCATCTGTTTATTTCAGATAATTTGAATCATTTTGTGGCAGTGTGGACCCCACACAACGGACGACAGTTGTTGCGCATTTTTTTTCGTTGTAATGAGCTGATGCGTTTTCTGGAAATTTATCAGATTTCAGCTTATCAGTGATAATGTAAAATGCCTTCTCATAGCATCTTTTTCAAATTCCACTTATATACTTTAAAAAATATTATTTCTTTGTTTTTGACGCTTTGTAGTAACTGAATATACATGCTTTCGGGCAAGCAAACCGGTCAGTAGAGCTTAGAGTGTTTCGATGCTAATTTAGCTTAAAATTGGGCTTTTCGAACCTTCAAGGACAGTTTAAACGTCTGGATTTGATGATTAAACCCATACAAAACAATGACTAAAGAAGCTTCCGGTGAGAGAAGTTGAGTGAATGCAGTGAATTGGAAAGAAACTAATTAGTGCTTATACATACAAAGTTATTGTAGAATGATTAACTCGACAAGAAATTCCCACTTATTCTTGGATTAGTTTGGGTACCTGGAATTTTGTTTAAAGAAATGACCGCGATTTTGTGGAGGTTCCTGGAAAAATAAGGACTCTTGAGAATCGAACTCGAACACTTAGACGGTTCATCTTTTTCAGGACAACTTTGATTCTTTTTCTCCGATTTTGTTCATTGCTCATTTCTAATACATATATAGTCCGGTGCAACTTCGGGTTTTAACGGTAAACAATAATCTCGCTTTTGGCAACTTCTCGAAGAATTTTGATAATTTTATCTTTTTCTTCATCCTTGTTTGATTCATGTCATTTCGTCTCGAATGTCCGTCCGAGTAATCTTCAACCTTACCATTACCGTCAATTGGTTATTCTCTCACTGACTGCTTCCGGAACACGATCGACCTCACAATAATGGCAAAATGTTATAAAAATTATTTTATTAGTTTTTGAGTAGTATACCGCTGATTCTACTATTTGGCCAGTATTGTTGGGAAGTTGTCGCACTGGAACATGGTTTCCGTATCCCACATGTCATACTCAGCTACATTTTTGCTTTGTGTAATAAATTGAACACTTTAAAGCATT